TAAGTGGCTTCTTCCCCGGGGGGGCTGGTTGTTTACCATTGCGCAATCTTGGCTGACGTTGCCCATAGTTTGACATCCCGGTTGATGGATCCCGTTAAGGCTCTCGGCCGAACTGGCATGTTTGGCAAAGCCCTCAATAATATCGATGGTGGTGTAGAGGTCTTGGACGACTTGAATGACCATTGGACTGCAAAGAACCACAAACACGAGAGAAGCATAATTATGGAGGATCTGCAGGATTTGGCGATTGACAAATCATTGCGAATCACGATCCTGAGGTAAGTTTTTTCGCAACAAACATAAGAATAAAAAATCATAATCTGACATTCACTCTAGCGGTGACGTGCACTTGGCTGCGATTGGTCAGTTCTATTCAAACCCTAAGCTTGGCCTGCCAAAGCACAAGGACCCAAGATACATGATCAACGTTGTATCTTCAGCTATCGCAAATACCCCGCCGTCGGATATACTGGCAGATGTACTCAACAAGCGAAACAAGGTGCATCATTTCGACAAGCAAACTGATGAGAGCATGGTCCCTCTATTCCATCATGGGGTGGACGGAAAACCTCGAAATAATAAACACCTCCTGCCACACAGAAACTGGTGTTCTATTCGTTCCTGGTCACCTGGCAGAACGCCGCCCCCAACACCACCTTTGTCGACTTATGATAGGAGTCCGAGCCCACCGTCGGTGGTGAATAGCAATGGTGGCGGGGCCGGAGGCTTGTTTCGACGACTCTCTCTGGGGGGTGGAACACGGCCAACATCAAATCGCTTTGACGGATCACGTACTTCGGTTCGGGGCGATAGACCTCCAGTGTCAGGAGGCGTGGGTGGCTTATTCCGCAGTTTGTCGCGGAGAAACTCGTCTGATGGTCCTCGGCCGGCGAAGCTGACCCGTACAATGTCGCTTGGAAGTGGTGAGGGCAAGAAGAAGGGGTTCTTCGGCCTCGGCCGACGTGGAAGCAAGAGCAGGCCTGATGATGGAGGTATCAATGGACAATGGGGTGTCGAGAGCGACGATGAGGACGGCTACTTCGTTGACAATCACCCTTCACATGCTGTCCGACCATCAGGGCTACGCGGTGGCGGTACATATGAACACTCTGAATTCTCAGATGATGATGAGATGCATTTTACGGCTAGACCACCACAACATACCCAGACTACTGGGAACCAATTGGCAGGGCCTCCTAGGGGCGATGATGAGCCAGACTCTATGGTCCGCCCATTCCATCGCACGCCAACGGGATTATCAGTGAAACAGTTGCGCAAAGCTGAGAGGTTTACGGTTGATCTTGAAGGCGGTCTGGACATATGCCTCAATGTGGAGGTCAATTCCAGGGACCCAACAGGTATTACTGCTCCATATAGACTGCTGGTACCTCGATTGCAGTATGAGTACAATCCAGCAGATGATGAGCTACAACAACCTGCCAAGGAGTCACAACAGCCGACAGGCTTCAAGAGGTTTTTGAGCTTCCGCAAGAAGCCCGAGAAGCCCAAGCTGCAACAAGAACACGGGCATGATGGCGAGGAGAGCGAAGATGAGAATGAGGATTATATGAGCGATGAAAGCTCAGATGTCCCACCACGGCGATGAGCGCCGACGGGGAAGTGAAGAGAGGACGAGCAGGGCGACAGAAAGGAAAGCGAGTTTGTAAAGGCGCGCTTACTGTACAGCTTATGATGTGCATCATGTGTTTACGAAGTTTGACGACATAAATGATGTTGGAATAGCGCAGCACGTATTTTCTCAGTATTGGGTGGCATACGATGCAATATTTGCATACGAAGGCGTTTTCGTTTTAGAACTGTTGAGGGAGTCAAGGGACAGAATTTGGATCAATAGCATAAGAAAAAGTCGTATTGTGTGATTGAACTGTTGATCATGCTGTGGCCGGGCGAATGCGAATGATGTCTGGTGCGGTAACTGCCCAGGTGGTTATTCTCGCTATTGCCTGGCAACCCCACATCAAGTTTACATGTCGAGTACTGTTCAGCGCTGCTAATAATACGAATTAGATGGAGCAAGATTGGGGAAAACAGGAGCAAAGGCGGGACCTGAGTGAGACCCTTAGACCTGAGACGTCAACCGTAGGACTGGCGCTTCCTGCTAAGTTCGCTCTTTCCTCCTTCCCAGCATGCGACAAGGCATGTAGCAAGACCACCAACTCACTCCTTCCCTTTTCTTTCCCTTTGTTCCTTTCTTACTTTTTTCCTCACAACCGGGTAATATTTGACGGCATTCTTGGTGAAGGCTCTTATTTCCGTTCCCCGTCCGCCACCGTTCAGTTCTCTTTTGTGACTTGCATACTCCGTACGACTACTCTTCTTTCTTCCTGTGCATCAGATCGCGAAAGGGGGGTGGCTAGCCAGCTCGGTCCAACGCCAACGCCAACACCACAAACAACCAACCACCAGAGACGAACCCACCGAGCGGCTCACGCCAAGTTCCGTCCTGGTAGCCACCTGCTTACCCTCCCATCAACTCAGCTCCGGCCAACACCTACCAGTCGCTCGTGCGATCGTGTGCTTTGCCATCCACAACCTGCTCTTCTCAACGCCTTGACGGACGCTATCCAGCTTGTTCGGCGAAGCGGTAATGGCGTCAGCATGTTCAGTCGCCTAGTCATGCCCAAACCCCTGAAGGACGGGCGCCCGCGCACCACATCCCAAGCCGTCCTTGCCTGGATATGCGGTCCAGGTAGGCGCATGGCTACGACGGCTACACTGCGCGTCGCGCATCAGATTAGGAGGAATTTAACCCTGAGGCGGCTATTGAGCTTTCCGCATTTTTTGTTCTTGTTTTGGGTCGTGATTTTGCTATGGGGTGAAAGATGGGTGTTCGACTCCAAGGTTGCGAAGTGCGATTGGGAGAATTGGGAGAAATGGGTACGTTGACAAGTTGCTGTGTTATCGAAATGCCATCTATTGTTTTGTTGGTGGATGAAGCTGATGGACCTTGCTACAGCCCAAAGAGGCAGACCCCCATCACCTCATCTTCGTCGCCGATCCCCAACTTATCGATCCGCACTCGTATCCCGGTCGACCCTGGCCTCTGTCGCCGCTCACTGTGCTGGTGACGGATAACTATATGCGACGTGGATATACCGCATTGCAACGCCAATTAAAGCCTGACAGTGTCTTCTTCCTGGGTGATTTGTTCGACGGTGGCCGAGAGTGGAAGACGCGGCAGGGCGCCAAATTTGTCGATCCAAAATGGGGTGGTGAGCGGTCCGCAACTGAGAAGAAGTGGGTGAAGACATGGCATCGCAAATATGATGATGACTATTGGATTCGAGAGTATCAGAGATTCAGCAACATCTTCTTTGCCCCATTTAATGAGGCTGGCGGTGTTCCTGGGCCATATCAGAGGGGTAGGAAGCTGGTTGCCAGTTTACCTGGGAATCACGACCTTGGCTTCGGTGCTCAGATTCAGGTGCCTGTTCGTGACAGGTTTAGTGCTTTTTTCGGTGAAACGAACCGTGTTGACGTTGTGGGAAATCATACCATTGTGTCGGTAGATACGGTTTCGCTGAGTGCAGATACCTCCCGGTACAAGGATGAGCATGATTTAAAGCCCATATATGGACCAGTCCATGAATTCTTAGACCAGGTCCAGGCGACCAAGCGAAAAGCTGCTCAACAGGAATTAGCAGTCTGGCATGGAGTGGACCGGGGGCTGAAGTTACGACATAAGGTTGAGGACGTCAACGAGGCGGACTTATCACGGTCACCAATGGACCCAGGAGAGGGGGCGCCTGACTTTCCTACGATTTTGCTTACCCACGTCCCTCTATACCGAGAACCCGGCACGCCTTGCGGTCCTCACCGCGAACACTGGCCACCGAGCAAGTCGACCCTGAGAAAGGATGGAACTGTCGATCCCACCGCTCGTGATGATCGCAATGCTATCAGCGTCAGTGCAGGTTACCAGTATCAGAACGTTTTGAACGACGAAGATTCGGTTAAGCTGATTAAGAAGATTGGCAACGTTGTACACGCATTTTCAGGTGATGACCATGACTACTGCGAGCTCGTGCATTCCTCTGCCCAGGAAAACGTTCCTGAGATTACCGTCAAGAGTATCAGCATGGCCATGGGAGTGCCAACCCCGGGATTCGTCATGGTCAGTCTGTTCAACCCAATTGACGCCCATGGCAAACCTATTCCGAACTCGCCCGAGAAAACAATTCAAACCCATCTCTGCTTACTTCCGAATCAATACCACACGTACATGAAGTACATTACTTTTATTATCGTGTCCGTCGTCCTACTATTAATCCGAGCATATCTTGTTCCCGCCCTCCACCTCACACCCTTTGCCCTCGAACCCGAGACTCACGCGGCTCCTATGCTACCTATATACAAGGACAAGGTGAAGATGGAACCACCCGAATACGGCGCTCTCCGATCACCAGCGGCAGCCACATCCGGCGCTAGGAGCCAGGCAAACGGCGGAAATGCGAGATGGGCTTCCAAGAAGAGTAAAAATGGCCAACGATGGGGATGGAGCAATGGGAATGGCGGCCCGCGTATTACCCTCGATGACCATTTCTACGACGGTGGCAAAGCTAACAGGGGAAGGAGGGAATTGCGCTTACTAGGGAGGGAGTTGTGGACGACTACGTGGCGCTTGGCCTGGTTGACGGTATTATATTGGGCATATCTGGCACGGAAGGGCTGAAAACTACTGGCTGTCATGGCGACGCCGTGTATTTATATATATATATATATTTATATATGTAATTGTGTTACTAGTTGGATGGTTTGGTCACGGAGCCATAGCATAGATGCGGATTAATAGCGTATGTTTTATTGTTATCCGTTGCATAAAGTCAGCCCCGACGCCTGAGAACTCCATGCCCGCGTGCAGTCACCGTTCCTTCGCCTTGACCTTTTGTTTTCCTTTTCCAATTTCCAATACCAGTCCGCAACGCCGTTCGCGCCATGATGACATGCCTACCGCTCTGGAGCGCAGCGCTTCCTCCGCGTCACCTCCGCCGCGTGATGCCCAGCCGCTCCTCGCGCGCTCTCCTCCCCGCGGCGTCGGGGCTCTCTTGCACGCCCTCCATTTGAGCCTGTGCCTGTGCCTGCGCCTGAGTGTAGGCTTGTGCTTCGGTGCGTGCCTGTTGCGCCGCGGCGAGGGCCTCGTTTGCGCGTCGGTCCTCGTAGGCGGCTACGTCCTCGGCGGTGATTTGGAGCGTTGTCGGGGGTCGGCGGAGCATGGTGGCCGCGAGGGTGGATTTCTTTCTCGAGGTGGTAGGGGCTTGGGTAATTTCCGTTTGGGTTGATGGAGATTTGACGTTGCTGTATCAGAATAATGTGTTGGGAAATTTGAAGCTTGGGGGTGGATGGTGGAGAGTCGGAGTTGTTGTCATGGTTCCTCTCTACGGACAGGCGAGGTGGTTGTTGCGTGGAGGCGCTGTGGCGTCTCGGGTCATGCCGAGTGGATCTTGACAAACTGAGAGCTACAACTTCATTTGGTGCTCAAATAGTTACTTGTTCAATCCATGCTTCTGCTTCTCTATCGTTGGTATCATAAATAACATCATGCCTACGGTTGCATCTGTCACAATCATTACAAAATTACTCTCCTCCTGCCGCCATCCATCTCAAAAGTGCTGCAATGTCTTGCTTCATGCTTGCACTCAGGTCCGCCGACTCGGCTACCTGTTCAGACACGCAGTCTCTCTCGCCGTCCCCTACCACCAATGGGGCTGACTTCAGCCTGAATGACTGACCCTGGGGATATCGCAAAGTATAGTGCTTGGCCGAGTCCTCCTCTGGCGTCCACTTTCTTGGAGGTGCATGACTTCGGAAGAAGCGAATGGGCTCTGCAAATGTGTAGCCGTCTTCGGAACTAACTGGGACGGGAGCCTCTGTGTCCCCGCTGACCGTAGATGGGGATGTAGATGTGATGCTGTGTGATGAGAGACTCCATGGTGAAGCCGCCCCATCCGGAATGAGTTCGCCGTGGGTTTCAAAGCCAAATGTTGAGAACCAAGCTGTCATGTCATCAGCCAGGTCATTCTCATCATCGTCATACGTGGCCGTTCGCGAGTCGCCGCTTGTAAGGCCCTGGATAGCTATTTGGTAGGCACCACTGTCGATGGAATCATCCATCTCCTCATCCGAGTTGACATATGAATCTGCGATTTGGCAGGCAATTCGACCGTGCTTGAAGGAAGAGTTAACAGTAGACAGCTGCGTGCCGGGAAGATAGACCAAGTCACCACTATCTTGAGATCGGACGCTGTGATCAACACTCGGCCGGCCCGCTGGCTCCTCAAGCTCGTCGTCGGATTCGACTTCTGGTATAGTCGGAAGTCGTGCCTTGGTATTCGTGAAAACGAATCTCTGGGGGTTCTTAGGAGGCGGGTTTAGGGGGTAAACGTTACTTGTGACTACGATGGTGTCGCTTTCGTGACGCGCTCGTGGTATGGCAGACTTTTGCATTGACATGCTGGGTAAGGAAAAGTCTGCATGGATAACAGCTTCGTCAAGCGGCAATACTGATGGCCTCTCTGCGTTGCTGTTGTTCTTGTTGCTCTTGGCGGAACTTGTCGTGGTCTGCCGCGACCAGGCACTATCAGACGAATCGCTTGAGTCTCGCCCCTCAAACGACGACGGCTGCTGGTCTTTATGTGTACGTCTGGCTCGCACCTCTTCGAGCTTCTCTGGAGTCAGCATCTCATCGGCTTGTACGCGCTTGAAGCGTGTGCCAGAGAAGAGCTGAGCAACGCCATTTGATACCGCCCATCTGGCGGGTTTGGTTGGCTGCGAAGTACGGGGCTGGGAGACTTTTTTTGATTCCTTCTTCAGCGAATTCATAGTTTGTGTCTCGGGGCACAGGGGAAGGGGCTTGTCTATAGGTGATTTAGTTCTCTTGGAGAGAGTAGGTCGATTGCTTGTTTTGTCTTCTTGGTGATGTTGAGTAGTGGTATGAAGAGCATCAAAATCAGCCGGCGTTTCCGGCCCCCCCGTCGTTTCTGACGTCTCTGGCAAGTCGTGTAACCATGACGTCAAACTCGTATCGTCCATATTCTCGTGAACTGCTTCAAAGGCGTCTGCTGTTTCCTTGATCATGAGCTGTACTGACTGTGTCCAGGCGTCATGATGGCCTAGCGAGGGAGTCACAACCAGACGTTCCAAGCAGCCGTCTTGCATCATAGTGACAGCAGAGTCAGAGAATGGGGAAAATGACCGTTCAGAGGGTTTTCGACTTTTGTCCATGCATTGTTCATATTGTCCGGCAATATGCTGTGAATTCCGCCTTGTTGGCCCTCGATTCTGTTCTGCTCTCGGCAACTCAGACCAACGTGTTCTGGTGACAGAACTCTCATCCGCAGAACGCTTACCAACTGCATCTTCCTTAGATTCCTCATAAGCATGAACTGATCTCGCTGGCGAGATTTTAGAAACTCCGAGCTTGGCGGAAGGGAGTGAAGACAAGGCTCGGTCGCTATCATCGTCGCTCCGGATGAAGACGGGGGGGGTGGGTCGCTGACGCCTCACGCTTGGCAGCCACAAAAGTGATCGTGATGAATTCTTCGAGTCCATTCGAAGTGAGCGACACTCATCAAGTGACTGAGCTCTTCTGTGATTAAGTCGAGAAGGAGATGAACCAAGTTGTTGGTTCGCTGGCGCACGTCCCATTGTGCCAACCGTCGGACTCTCCATCTTGCTGAGACGGGCCTGCTGCTTGTGTAGCCCGAGGAAACCAACAGAACGGCAGTAGAACAGGCAGGATATTGGGACCGCTATTTAAAAGGGAAGTGAATGCACAAACAACCCAAGTGCCAGCGCATAAACGCTTGCCAACTGTTTGACTGAAGAGGTATTGACAAAGGGCCATATGACATAGTGAGACGGTTAGAGTATCAAAGGGAACAAAACGACCATGGCATAGCAGAACAGAGAGACATGCGAGGCGCACAACACTTTTTGATACTTGTTTGGACGACCCCCTGGGATGGACAAAACACAAAGAATTATTTCACCGCCGTGTACAGCGAGTGGGCAATGCTTTCAGTAAGGGAGCAGTTGAAAGGTTGCAATGAAGGAGCGCCAGCCTGGTTCAAGTATCTCGACCCTGGCTTATAAGTGAATGTCAACCTGATGGGGGCCACCAGCCTTCTCACGTTGTGGCCGCAGCGATTTCAGGTTGGTGGTGGTACGCAAAACATGGGTTCCGAGCCCACACCTGGCCGGCCGGAAACAGGCGGGTGTCAGTTATTCTGTCGAAAAATGAATTGTTTCCCTTGTTGCATGTCGTACTGGGCGAGACTGGTTCCATTGTGGCTGCGGCCCAGCCCAGGTAGAAGCCCATGCGGCGTGACCCATGCTTGCGAGTTCTGTTCAGCCAGGCCACCAGCATCTGGAGTGCTTGCACCAGGGATCGATCGGCATGGGGGGCGCAGCCAACTCCAGCTTTAGGGAACCAGAGCCAATTCGGCACGACCCTGGCTCGAAATAGTTCACTGGATGCTGTGGGTGCTGGCTGATGCGTTTTCTCAACGCCCCGACTTCCCGACTTTGTTTGCGAAGTGGCTCCAGCGTTGGCCATTTCCCTTGTATCCTTTTGGATCAACGATTCATCATGTGCCAGAAGTGAAGGCCTGCCATTCCGTCCATTCCACGATGCTCTTCGGCCCTGGCTACTCGTCGGCGGGTATCCGAGATCCTTCCAAGTGCCGTTTTGGTAATGGACGAAAACCACTGGCGAGTCAAATCGCTAGTTCTCGAGTTAGCAGTCAGAAAATCACGCATTACGAGAGGTTTATGGTATGGCATGGTCGTGGTACAATGTGATGGTGTGCGTAAAGACACGGGAAGAGGCATTACACAGCCAGGAAGCGAGGTGTTCTGCGGCATCATTGGTTAATGGGACGGTGCGAGTGCAGTGGGCAACACAAGCCCAGATATACATTGGTGATAGATGAAAGGATGCCAGCGTCTAGATGCTTATATACCGACTGGGATAATGCCCTTGAGTTAGCCCAATAGACAAGAGGAACACGCCAACAATGCCAATGACGAGATTCTCGATCATAGCGGCCAAGTCACCCGACACAGCTCCAAGCCAAGACGATGACCTCGTGGTTCATGGGTGTAAATAGCTGTAGCAGCAAACCTCTCTCCCCGCTTCAGAATGGCAGCCTTGCCCTGACTTTGGTAGCTCGCAGCAGAGTGTGTCGGCCGCACACCTAGAGCCTGGGAAGCCCTTGGCCTTGCCCATTAGGGACGCCAAAGCACGAGGCATGTTTCAGTGCACAAGCCGCTTCATGATCCCTTCCTCTTGTGCGGCAAATGACGAGTTGGTATAATCCTCTCCTGGTACTGGCACTCGCGCGTTTCTAAATGTAGAGCGGTAATAGCAGATAGTACTCATGAAGCACTGCAAGAGCAAGCGCAACATCTCGGCACCTCGCTAGAATAGGGTGGCATACTGCTCGTATTAACGTTCACAGCTGAGGTTGATATAACTTATGTCGTGATCAGCTGTGTGTCTTTGTTTTTTTGGCACTGAACACGATTCGTCTGTGCGTGTTATGCCTTCCCAATGCGCCATACCTGTCCGTTTCGCACTTGACGCCTCTTTCGTTGTGGTCCTACGCGCCTCTGGTTGTCCTCCGTGTACTATCGGATAATCTCTCCAAATCAGCCTAAAATGGCAAACATGACGATAGGCTGGCAGTACCAGGGTCAAGGGCTTGGGGTCTTCAAAAGCCGGCCACAACATGTCGACAATCCCGGCATTTTGACGATGGAAAAGAGATCAAGATGTGATCAGCAGTTGGGATGTTGATGAAAGCTGGTGGCCTTGCAGAGATGAAGATGTCTGTTAGGCCAGAGTGTTGGCAATTGTGGGGCGAGAAAACGTGAGGAAGAACGAACGGGAAAGGCCGCAGTCAACTGCTGCACGCTTGAGCAGGCGCTACTGTCCTGATAAACATGCTAGGACCAGAATGAGCTAGCTTCAATGTTTATCCCTACCTCTCGCAAAAGACTTCGTCGGCCGCGTGTTCATTACAATACTCTTTTTGAAGAGACCGGATCTTATCAGAGATATACAGAGTATACATGTAGGGTCAACTATGACCTCGATTGCGGGAGCTCGGGCTTAAACCACCTCACATGCAGCAGAGAACCCGCCTACGTGCGTCGCTGTGCGTACATACGGAGTGCATAAGCCTCATATTATCATCCCCATCACTCCACCGATTCTGTTCGAAGAAGATAACCATCTTGCAGTCCTCCGTGCACGTTTGATCTCTGCCAGTCTCAACTTCGGTCTGCCGGTATCGACATACTTGGTCAATTGTGGCTAGCAGGTTATTTGGGCAAATACGGAGTACTCTGTAGCCTGATGACAGCTGAAGAACGAACTCCGACGACAATCGTATTTCTCGTTTTTACGACATCTTTCAGCAACCACCAGCCGAATATCAGAAATTAATGATGCGGCAGATCCAGCCGTCGATCAGTCCAGATAAACCCATGGTCAAAGCTTTCTTCGTCATTCCTACATAAACGATGATCATAGTCGTCGCTCATTGCCATAACTGGCAACTCGTCGCAATTTCCCGTTAGCAATCCAATCTACGGATACTGTGCAAACATGGTCTCTCTGGATTCCTTTTTCTTAGTCTATCTAGCTCAAACAATCACTACCCCGTATGCACAATCGGGCACAGACCACATGGCAATCACAAACCCCAGAACTGCAACGGGATGGGCCCCAGGAATGCCGGCTTGGTCCTTGACGCGCCCAACATCGCCGGCATTGCCATGCAGTCACATCAGAAGGCGAGGCTACAGGCTACTAGCTAGCGCTAGCCGAGCTTGATAGCCGTGTCCTTTATGCCTGATCACTCGGTTCCGGAAGTGTCAACTTGAAAAAAGTTATATTGCGGTTGCTTTTATTGAGCGCCGATTATGCCAAAACAAGTTGTTTTCCCTACAATATTTTGTACAGGCTCCGAAAACGCCTCAAGTCTCCATGTGATCCATCCCCATCGGCGCCAATCAGAACATATCGGGCCGTAACACAGCATCATCCTTCCCCAGATGCGACCCGAAACCCGGGTCCAGAGCAATAGACTACCGACTGGTATGCGATGCCAAGAACTGTAACACAACAAAATGAGAAGAGCAACTCCCCCCACGAACGCCTCACGGACCTAACCCAAATGGCCCGTGTATCGCAATCCCTTGGCAGTAAAAATAGTACGCCACGTTTCCGTTTGTATCCTCGAATAGAAATGGCTCGAGGGAGCCGAAAGAGAATACGTAATAAAGTTTCAGGGCTGCCGTTTGTTGGCATGTGTGTTTGTCGCTGTTAAACGAATCCGTGGCCTTCTGCACCAGTGCTCCGTTCCCATTATAGAACATGATTGGCCTCTCTCATCCTTCGCGGCGTCCCAGTCCGTAGAAACGACGACGCAGCGTGCCTAGGAAATGGAATAATTTTACCGTCGAGTAGTGTTTCGCAATCATCCTGGGCCTCGTCGTCCGTGGGCCTCGTGCAGCTGCAGCATGCTGCGAAAAACTGGCCCATGGACGCGACTATTAGGCCGGGAAATGCGGCAACAGCGCTTAGACATTTGCCCCGGCTGTTGGCCTTCTTGGCCTTCTCGTCCTCATCGTGGAGTCTGATGCCCTTGGAGGATGGCATGGTTGTCTTTGACGCGGCGTCGGTGGGAAGCATGTTTGTCCGTAGAGATCTTTCGATTGCAAAGCGTGTGCCAGCGAATGAATCGACACTAGTCCGTATGTTTTTTCTTTCTTTTTCTGCTGCGGTGCTTCTTAATACAGTATATTATTATAAGGCCTAGGTAGGGAAGAACCAAGGCAGCAAGGGCGGCTTTTAATAAATGGATTTCGCGGGATTGCGTCGTCTCCCTCGCGCCTCCCTTGGCCTTGCCTGCGCGACGTATTACGCCTCCATTCCTGAGCCATGCCGCACAACGGCATGTAAGTCTAGTATGTACTAGCATGTCGGGCAGTCTCACAATTTCATTTCGTGGCGTCAATGACATGAGTCAATCATCCATCTGGGAGTATGCTCGCCTGCGAGCGAGGAGTTGGCTAGCTTTGCATTTTTGCATAATGGCCAATCTCCTTTACATGACACCACGCCCTGCCTTGCAAGTCTATGTACAAATGGATACTTGGCCCACTCCACATGTCGTGTTGGTAAATATGTACATTGCTCTATGCATTCTTATCGTCGTCTAGCCACGGTTACATATTCGCTGCTTTGCAGGAGGTATGAGGGATGTAAACTGTATACATACGTATTCTGTTGTATATACTGCCAACACCTACGGAGCGCGAAGCACACATTCACAAGTTTGCGCGACAAATGGAGTGTTGACCAGAAATGGCTGCTTCTTATTGGGAGAGTCTATGGCGACTGCAGTCCTGACTGGTTACGCGGCCCATTATAGGCCAGGCGACTCATGAGCAGGGACGTGCTGGGACAGACCATGCTGGTGATCTCGGCTACCTAATGCACGCAGGGCAAGATCAGGATTTGCACAAGGATTTGCCAACGCACGGAGTTGGCTGATAAACTATGGCTGGTTCTTTCCCTTGCGGTATTCGGGAAAAAAGACGTCCTGAGAAAAAGCGTCAATGTTGATCTCGATTGCAAAATGATGGGTCACAGCACATAATAATGCACGCAAGGGAATGACACGCCATATAAAGCACACTATGAGTCGATACACTAACAAAGACCAAATTCAGAGTCATGATTGACATACGGACAGATCAAGTTCTAGGTATGTATATCACGACTCGAGCTCTACCCATTTTCTCCCCCTTGACAATCAGAGGTCGAGCTCGCGGGAAATTGTCATGGACCCTAGCCATCCAAGCGCCTCTAATCTTCTTCAAACTCGATACCTGTATCAGTCTCGCCCTCGTCCTCCTCGTCGTATGTGATAAAGGGAACAAACCGAAAATCCAGAAAACTTCGCTTACCACCTTCCATCTCTACCATGAACTGAAGACTCAAGACGCCCTGTGCGTCACCCCGGAGACTGACCTTGTTCGCGATACGCATGGCCTCTGTTGAATTTTTGATGAAGTCGAACTTGTACGTCTGAGCCCAGCGGTCGGCAATGGTGAAAGTCTCCAGCAAGTCTCTGCCCCTAGCAAAATCTACTGCGGAACTTCCCAGGTCACCAGTGCCAGCGAGTGACAAAAAGGGCGACGTCTTTGAGGCGATAATGGCCAGCTTGTCAGGAGCCGTGGGAGATATCTCCGCCAAGGAATCCAATAGGGAACGCGACGACATGATTATTTTGAACGACATCTCCTCTCGATTGAATGGAATATCGTCTGGCAATTCCGGCACATATGTCGTCAATCCTGCCGTGGTCTTCACCCCAGCTTCTTCAATGGTGATTTTGAAAGCATCTCCTGCTTCGCCGTAAAGTAATGTACAGGTGCCAGATATCCCAAGAGCTTGGTTGCTGAATGCATCTGGTCTGTAATTTCTCAAGTTACTCCGATAAGGGTCTTGCTCTGCCTTCTGCGCCCGAGTCGCAACATCCACAGCTCCAAATATTTGGAGCACTTCAAGAAATGATGCCAAGGAGATTTGGAAATTTGGTAGATCGACTGCTTCGTCATCGTCAGAGAGTGGCAGGTTGAGGCTATATGCTGAAAACAGCGCCTTGTCAAGAAAAGCAACTCCTGAAACAATAGTTAGCCGTGTGACGGTTGCGGGACCATGAAGTTGTGAGGAAATAAGTTACCTTGCATTACCCTCGAATGGTCTGCAGCAAATCGAATACCTTCCTCAGTTATCTGGACATGGACTCTTGGAGCAAAGTTAATACACCGAAGCAGCTGATATAGCGGCCGTGTAGACGTAGCTACAGCCCGAAAGATTGGGGTCTTGTCAGGCGCCATGATTCTTGATGTGCAAATGTGCTGATCGTTGGGAGCGATGGATATCAATCGTGCGAAACTTTTCTCTTTCTAAAATCAAAAAAAAAAAAACCAAACCAGATAGCAATCGTTCAGCAGGTCTCCTGCGTCTTCTCTGCCTTCCCTCTTTCAACTAATGTACAATAGAGACCAGCTGGCTCGTCAACCAACCAGTCAGTGTAGTTATTTGGGTATCTTCTCAAAGGTAGACTCCAACTGCACAGAACATGTATACAACTCCGAAGCTGTCAAGTAATGTGAGCGTTGGAAAGAACGGCTGTCACCGTAGAATGCATACGTACGCGAGTGCCAAAGAAGCTGGGATGCCAAGTGTCGCGAGGTTAACAAGAGACCGGTCTGCAAGTTCATTAGCATCATAGAACGACCAGCAGGACCGGCAAATGATAGACAAACTCAATGTAAATACGCCAGTAATTGCCAATCCCAACAGCATCAAGATGAATGCAACGAGGAACTGGCTGTTTTTGCCAACGGTGGGGAGGAATGGACTGCCAGCAGCAGCTTGCCAAACTTCATGCAGCGAGGAATCCATGTGCCAAGTGCTTCAAGTCGGAGCGGTATATCGTAAGGGAGATTGAATGGGTCGAATAGGTGCTGTCCACGCGTTGTGCTAGCACAATGGTTGTCGATGCGATTTGGACGAGAACTGCAAGGCTACGAGTTGATTTATGGGTGCGACAAGCTGTCCTGACATCGACATCGTGGCCAGAGGCAAAACAGGTTTAGCGCCAACCCCTGGGAGCTTTAAGCTGCCAACGTAAGCCGTGCACGGACCATGAACGAATACTCACTTGCAATGTTCAGCGCGTCGGTCCCCACATTGATTTAACATTCGCATCACATCTCTACGTCAGTACCACCGACGGTGGAATATCAGCGTCATAACCACAGCCATCTTCCATCATGGGAGACGTTATCAAGGAAGAAAATGGTGAGCTTAATTTATACCTGTGTTTTCCTTTCTCCAAGCTCACAACACCCAAGGCACAAAGCGCAAGGCTTCGGAGGACCCCACCTCGCCCGCTGCATTGAAGCGTATTAAGCATGACGAATCTGTCGACGCAGCCGAGGAAAAGAAGCCCGTGGCCATGAAACCAATTCCATTCCCTGAAAAGGTACATTCTGAGCGTTTGTTGCATTTTTTTCGGTCAGTTCGAATCAGCTAACCGCGGCCGTCTCAGCCTGCCGTTATCGAAGAGCGCAACGGCGAGATTGAATTTCGAGTTGTGAATAACGACAACGAGCGCGAGTCCCTGATCATTCTTACCGGGCTAAAATGCATATTCCAAAAACAGCTTCCCAAGATGCCAAAAGACTATATTGCGCGTCTAGTATACGACCGTACGCATTTATCGATTGCCATAGTCAAGAAACCATTGGAGGTCGTTGGCGGAATCACGTATCGACCATTTAAGGGTAGACAGTTTGCGGAGATTGTGTTTTGCGCTATCAGCTCTGACCAGCAAGTCAAGGGGTATGGTGCACATCTTATGTCCCATCTAAAGGATTATGTCAAAGCAACCAGCGACGTCATGCACTTCCTAACGTATGCTGATAATTACGCTATTGGGTACTTCAAGAAACAAGGCTTCACTAAGGAAATCACTCTTGATAAAAGTGTTTGGATGGGATACATCAAAGATTATGAAGGGGGCACTATTATGCAGTGCTCCATGCTACCCCGGATCCGATACCTCGAAATGGGCCGTATGTTGCTCAAACAAAAGGAATGCGTGCAGGCCAAAATACGCGCATACTCAAAATCACACACTGTCCACGCACCACCAAAGGAGTGGAAGAACGGTGTCAGAGAAATCGATCCTCTAGATATCCCTGCCATTCGCGCATCTGGCTGGTCCCCCGACATGGACGAACTGGCTCGCCAACCCCGACACGGCCCCAACTACAACCAACTCCTGCACCTACTCAACGACCTCCAAAATCACCAGTCTGCGTGGCCGTTCCTCGTCCCCGTTAACCGCGACGACGTGGCCGACTACTACGAGGTCATCAAAGAGCCCATGGATCTCAGCACCATGGAAAACAAGCTCGAGGCGGACCAGTACGCCACCCCAGAAGACTTCACCAGAGACGCCAAGCTCATATTTGACAACTGCCGCAAATACAATAACGAAAACACGCCATATGCAAAGTCAGCTAATAAACTGGAGAAATTCATGTGGCAGCAAATCAAGGCCATCCCGGAGTGGTCGCACCTCGAGCCGGAGAAATAGAATTCTTTCCACGCTCCAATGCGCAAGATCCGCTTTGTATCGTCATCGCGAGGGGCGGATGCCCGTACAAAAGAGTCTGCGAATTCGGCAGGGTAGAGGCTTGGTGTGGAATTACGATTTATGGGATTAGCGTGGCGTTTGGTAGGTTTAGCCTCTGTGTATAACAATCATGGTTCTCCAGTACGTCGGATGGGTATTAGTTTTGACGTACTTGGTAATATATCATAGACTGTCACCCGACAACGTCATGTGTCAGCCACACGGCAGCACCGCATAGTATCCGATAAGGGAACGGAAAAGGGTAATCAGCTGTAACTGCTTGCGATTACCCAACCCTCACCGTGCCCATGAAGCATCCGTGTCGTATTGCCCCAGCCAGCTACAGCAACATTCTTGACTTGTCTTGCAGAAAATGCAGCCAAGGCAAGGCACAATCAGTAGACTTTCATCCCGACTTTAACGTAAAAGGGTAACAACTTGGGCACCTTGCTCGGTACCCAGCACCCTCTATGTAGCCTCCGCCAGCCAATTTCATCATATTACACCAGTAAAAGGCACACACCAAACCAAGCTACCGTAAAACCAGACTAAAAAAGACCCGACGCATGACGCATACCAAAACTTCAACAAGCACGCACGAAAATAATAATGAAAAAAAATCATTCTTATATTCTGATCAACGTATGATACATGAAACGTTCCAACGCCAGAGCAATCTTTTTATCGCATTATCAACAGAGGAAAGAAAAATAGCCCATCAGACGTCAGTCCCATCTATTAAACCCGGTATCATCAAGATACGGCTCAAAGCACCCAACAAGAAAGAAAATGTGACCATCTGGACAGAGGTGCTTCGTCTCTGATCGTTGACTGCTAGTTTTGACTAGTAGTTGTAAAGCGAAAAAGAAGCGAAAAAAATCGTGAAATTCATGAGTATGCATATCCCGTCTCTACCCATTTTATCAAAACGTAGGTCCATTCCTTTCTGTCTTTCCTTCTTTCTTTTTTTTTTCCAATTTTTGGGGGAGGGGTTCGTGTTGTACCGTATTCTTCACCTTATATCTAGAATGCATCCTGTGCATTGGGAAGACGAATTGTCGGGCGAGTCGCCCGGGGGAGAGAGGAGTGAGGCGCCGCAGCTGCAGCAGTGACTCGAGATCTTCGAGATTCAGCACGGAGGCTAGGGTTTTCGGCTTCAAGGGTCCGGAGGAGCATGGGGTGCAGCACTTCGGGGATTTCAGACCACTGGCCGGCTCGAGCAGCGGTGAGCATGCGCGGGGGGATGAGAGCTGCTGGAATGACGGATGTGCTTGGTGCTCTGCGAATCATCTGCTCTGTCATTTGCTCGGTGAGAAGGGCCAGCTCTCCCGAGTCAATGGCATTCTTGAGCCATTGCTCCCACTCCTCGTCCAGGACGATGGATGTATCTCCGGCCTCGCGGCGGGTTGCACGGTCACGAAGCCGCTCGTTCAGATACACGCCGACACTCTCAAACTCGCCATCGCTTTCATCTTCCTGGTTGGCGTCGTCGTCCTCATCGCCCAGCACACCGAGGGACGGAATCGACGTGGTGGATTGTATCTGCTCGGGTTCAGCCTGGGTGATGCTCGAGGTCTCAGGCAGCTGGACCTCTGAGGGCGGTACCCAGTCGGATACCTCGTCTGCGGTTGTGTCTCTAATGGTGATTCCCTGCTCCTTCTCGAACTTCTCCTTTGCCCATTTGGTGCCCTCCCACTTGGTAAGGCCGCGGATTTCGGCTTTGGTAAGGCGCAGGGCGTCGAAGGCTTGGAAGAGGAGTCTGTGCCATGGCCAGCGGCACAGGCGAATTCTATGCGTCGGGTGAGTGTAATCGAGGCCGGGGTATTTGGCCTCCTGGGTTTCGAGGTGTCCGTAAAAGGCATGCGTCTCCTGGCGGACTTCGGGGATGAGGCTCCTTTGCAGAAACGTCTGGAAGTTTTGCGGATCGCTGGCTTTGGGCTTGGCGTAGAGCCGGTCGTACACAACGTCTTCGACTGGACGGCCCTTCATTGTGCCCCTTTGCTACTAGTCTGATATCTGGGCGTGAAATTCTGGGTATATTTCAGCAGGCTCGATTTCTATCCGGTCGAAAAGCGGTCGCAGTCGGCTTTTGTAGCGGCGGCACAAGGAATTGGTGGCGGCGAAAGGGCAAGGACGAGGCCAGGACTCGCTCCCTCAGCTGGACAAGTAAGCCGTAGATGGGTGAGGCGGGAGAAGCCGAGATGGCGGATGACGACGGCCGAGTGCTGCCGCCTCAACAAGTAACAAAGTCGTGCACAGCTGTGTCCAGGACTGTGGGCGCAAATGAAGGTGAAGTGCCGTGTCGCACGCTCCTTAAATTGAAGACTTGATGCAGCCAAGGAAGACGAAAAGAGCGGCGGCGTGGGTAGCGGAGAGTGGGAGTGAGTGTTGCACTTGGACTGTCGTCGGTCAAGTTTGGGCGGAAAGAAAGCTGGGGGTCGGTTGATATCGGGGCGTGGGTCGCGTCAACAATGCAGCCAGGCACTAGTCATTGAGCCAGATTGCCGTCGATAACTTACTTGTTGTGTCGCACAGCAGCCCGAGGTTGGGAGAAACAAAAATAAAAATAAAAAATAGAACAGGCGATGGCGTCCCGATGTTGTCGAGATAGCCGGGCTTGCAAAAGACTGGGTACTTGGTCTTCCAGGTCGCCGAAAGCAGAAGCGCCAACTCGAGACTCTAGACACGCCGAATCGGGCAGCAATCACGCATTGCAAAATAGACCAGACTTGACAATTTTAAAATACGCCCTGCTCGCGCCTTGTTGTGATATGGGGAGCCTGCCTACCGAACCAATTCTGAATATAGCAGAGAAGAACGGCGCAGCAAGATGGCCAGGCATGATGGGATTTGGGTCCGGGTGACGAAATATTGGACAGACGACCGTGGAAACAAACCGAAGGACGATGCAGCAGCCGCAGCAATTCACCATCCAGATTGTCAGCAGCGTCAACCTCCAACGTCGAGCGGTTTCTTCGTGCCTTGCTAAGCACATGCTGACCTCATGCAGCCGCAGACCCATGTTGGCCTGCACCAGTACGCTTTCCATGTTCAACTTCTAAAATTAATTTCATTCACCTTTCCATCTCGGCCTGCCTTGGCCGCAACCGGCATCCGCACCACTCCCACCCCCCAGGCCCCAATCGGCGAGTATCTGTATGTATGTACATATGTCTGTCTGTCCGGTGGCGCCGTTTCACCCACACTGACAGTTTGGTCCGTCTTGCAGCCCAAGATGTGTGTGGATTCATCCTCCCTGCCATGTAACCCCCCCACGAGTCCACAGTACTCTGTAATCAATTCCAGAATTGAAGAAAATCCCCTCGACCCTTACACTCAGTACCGCCTTCCCGTTGGCCGCCTCTGACATGCATCAAGCTCACACGGTCCGTCAGCAGGCCTTTTGATTCGTCGCTTCAATCTGAATACTATCTGTCTCAATGCAACCATAAGCACATGATATATCAAACCGTTCCAATTATTCCAATAATATCATTGATGTTTGTGGAAAGAAACACCCCAGACTCTTATGTCTGTAGCAGAATATCTACCACTAAGGATGTACGTATAATACGCTATACTATATTCTTCTTTCATGAGCGATAGCCCGGTACCCAATCCTGACAGATGCTTCCTTTGCCCCTCTGTCAACATCCCAATGGTACACCACCGTATATGTACTCGCATCGAAACCGTGCCTCCTGAAGTCGGCACCCCCAATGCCACCAGCATCGTCTCTGTGTCTTCTCTGCCTTGTTTCCCGTCCTTTCTGGCCACTTATTATAACGACACCACGGTTGATACTGGCTCGTGCCTAACCGCATTTTAACGCATCGGGGGATTGATTCATGTGTCCATTCCAAATTTCGGTTCTTTCCGTCTCCAGTCGGAGACTCATGTCATCGGAATTAAACAGCTCTAGATTGGTCTCCTAGCCCCACGAGGTTAGCGAGCGGGTAACTCTCGGGAAATTCCACTTGCGATCTAGCCGTCACATCTACAATATCATATGTATATATTGAGTTGACCTCTCCAAAGACACCGCAGCTGCCCCGTGTACCTCATCCACAATCCACTGCACTATTTACATTACGTGGCTTTTTTTTGTTACCAAATGACTTTGAGCTGACAAGTCTATTATGCTACGAGTTGGCTGCCTCATGCTGGACCTCCCTATGCTAAACACACATCAAATTCATAAAAGTGGCTTGTGATGTCGTAAATATCATAAATGCGTTTCGTATATCGTTTGGACATAACCCGTCAATGAAACATGTAACAAAATTCATGCAACACCTCACAGGTTCCAATACGATGCTCTTGGTAGGGTGAAGTGAGCAGCTTCCTGCATCGTCATCCGCGGTTATGTTAGGTTCCGTCAGCTATATGCGGCTTCAGGATGCATACGCCTGGCGGCCATTGCTGCTGCCGGGCTTGTTAAATCCTCCTCCGGAGAATTCCGTCTCTCCCATTTCCTCCTCTCATCTCTCAAGCGATCTCTGTCTCTATCTCGGTCCCTGTCGCGAAGGTCCCATTCTGGTGGGTCTCGATTTCTATCAATATCGGCATGGCTGCTTGTTCTTCGCTGTGTTTCTGGTCGCCGTAAATAGCTCTTCTCTCTCCTCAAACCCATGTCCCTGTCTTCTTCCCAGTCACGGTCATGGTCGCGAACCCGTCCCCTTTGGTAACGCTCCCTTTCCCGTTCTTGTTCTCTCTCGCGCTCCTCACGTGTTCTACGCCTCCTCCGGCCGTCGCTTTCTGTCACGGAAGGATCTCCAGACTCATCTGTATCCATGTCGGAATAGCTTCGATTTAAACGTGAAGGGCGAACCTGCTCCCGACTCCTCCGTGTGCGAATAGGCTCCGTCCCGGAATTCTGTCTTGGGCCGGGCCGCGGCCGGTCGGAGGTGAGGCCATTTGGGAGAATACTGCTGACTGTCTCCGTAAACTTGTCGCGAAGGGAGCCCAACGGGCTTGGTCCGGTGCGTCTCTTTGCTTCCTCTGGTCGACCGTCCGATCGTAGCCCACGAAGATGGCTGGACCCATTAGAGGATCCCTGCGATTGTGAAGCAGCCCCCGTGCGTACAAATCTACGGACCGACGGAGGGGGTGGGGAGTATGGGTGACGGCGTCGCTTCTCTCTAGGATCCCCAACCGGCTCCTCGTCTGATGAATCAGTCATCTCGTGTCTTGGATGGCTATGCCTCCTCCCTGGGCCTGACCTCTTCATGTTGGGATTCAGATACGATGGTGAATACCCCCTTGGCAAAGAGGGGTCTTGGTCAGGTCGGCCAGAGGCATAGTCGGAAAAGCTCCTCCTCCTCCCCCTGTCATCTGGCGACGTATCACCGCGGCGTGGTCTGTCTGGAGACCTCTCTGCCTTGCGTTGACTGGCGTATCGACGTGGTACGTGAGTATATGCAAAGGGCCGTCCAAAATATTCTCCGTCATTTGGCCTCGGTCGCGGCGAGGAGGTGAATGAGAAAGGCTCCTGGAAATGGGCGTAGGTGAACTTTGGAGGAGGAGGCTGTTCATTTGCAGGCGGCGGCCTTGGAGTCGCCCCATCATCATTGGATGCTGCCGTCCATAATTTGTCTGCGCAACTTTTGTGCCAGCGATCAATGTCTTGGTCGGGTTTCTCCGGGAAACAAGTCCAAGGTAGGTCGACGGGGAAGTCTGCGCCGGTTTCCGGGTGTTTCAAGTTCCACTCCTTCACGGCATATTGCAGAAATGGAACATGCTCCTCGGGTCCGAGCAAGATCTCTAACGACTCCCATCGAGAGAAGCCGCGATAGGTGAGGGCCGGTATTGATGGGGGGTCAAAATCATTGCGTGTGGGTTGGAGGCTATGCTGGCAGCCAGTGATTTGCCAGACGTAGGAAATCGTCGAGTGCGGCGTGTCCACAAAGAGAGCTTTACGAAGACAAGCAAAGTTAGCATAGACAACTTTCCCAGGGCGAAGGGGGCGAGCTGTTTCTGGCCAGCTCTTGTAGTGAACGCACAGTCATAGTCGCCGCCAACAGCCTTGTAAAAGGCAGCCAGCTTACTTGGTGTGAGATGGTTGTCCGCCTTCTCACCAATCTCTAGCATCTACAGCAACAAGATGTCAGCTTGCAGGTCTTGTGACGCCAAATCCAGCTCGACGGCGGACCTCTTTGAACGAGAGCTCAGGGCTGCGTGGTGCCTTACAACGTGGCGGGCAATAGCCCTCAAAAGGGCATCGAGCTGCTTTGTAGGGCCCTTGTCCTTCTCAAACATGTAAGCATATTGAACCGCCGAGTCGGGCGACGCATCAGAGGAAGGCGACGACATGGCAAGCCGCCGCGTCGCTCACATCCAACGCAACAGTTTTATCAGGGAGAGGCTAGATGATTCGTGGGAGCAGTGGAAGATGTGTAGCTGGTGAAAATTGGAATTGATTGACTGGTTGTGGGAGCACGACAGGACATTCGGAACGGATGACGATAAAGGCGGTGGGCAAGTCGCGGGCACGAGCACATGCGTAGGGACAAGACCAGCGGCCAGGAACGCTTGTGCATCAGCCTGTATCAGCAACAGCTCCGAGGGCAGCCCAGATGACGACGTACAAAGACCGTCGCAGACAAACGGTGCAGGAGACAGACAAAAGGCTGAAAGGGCAGGCAGGGCAGGCTTTAGATGGTCGACGGTGGTGGTGGTTGTGTTGGTGCGCGGCGGCGGCGGACCTGGAGCATTGAATCGTGTGACTGGAGATTTCGGCTGGTCTTGCCTGGACGCAGCCCAACAGCATCAGGAGGATGTCACACCTTCAACCACGACGGGCTGAAACGGTGCCGTGAGCCCCGGGGGCCTCGATGCGGAATGTCAACTGGTCTTCTCCGCAATGCTGAATGCCCAATGTGTACCAATGTGACCTGCCAGGGTCGAGATGATCTGGGCTCGGCCATGATGCTAAACGTGAGCCAAGTGCGAGCGGCCCGCCGGCCGTCGCCGCGGCTTCAATGTTAATTACTGCTACTAAAGTGGACTGCTGCCCCCCCCCCCCCTGGACCATGGCCATGTCGTCGTCGATGCCCGCCTTGTGCGTCGGCATCGTCGCTTTCGTCCTCTTGGTGCCCTTTTGCATGCCTCATGTGCTGGTGGGGGTGGGCTGACATGTGCATCCATCATCTGTGTCATTTGTGTCATTCACGTCCCGTCTCGGCGAGCCGCCTTACATGGCGTGGGAAACGACCACGATCATGACCAGCTACCAAAGTGCCTAGACACCAAGACACCAGGCATCACACCCAGAGCACGGAGCACAGGACAGCTGGCGCTGTGGCTGTGGCTGTGGCTCCTTGTAGTAATTGGCGGTCAAGGCAAGTCGATGCTGGTTCAGCTTCTGGTATTTAGCCTGGCCTGCCCGGCCTCGGCCTACGAGTACCGCAGGTCTGGTTCGTGACATGACATGTGTGCTACCATCCAGGCCAACCGTCCCATGCTTACTCCGTACTGAATGTAGAAATAAAAAACTCATTGTTGCTGGGTATTCAAGCGCAAGGTTCCAGATATGCGAGGCTACAAAATGCATACTTGACGTCAAGCCACAGCTGGCGTTGAGGGTCCATCGGGTCCATCTCGCAATCGAGGATCTGGCTGCCTGTTTCTTTTGCCCAACTTCCGTTTCGTCCAGCTGCTTCTCGTGTGGCACGCCTCACAGATCACTCCCGTATACTTGCTGCCCGTGTACGGTTTCTTTCAACTGGATAAAATTCTAATTCGGGGAACACTTATGACACAGCTGGCAAACACTAACGTACTTAGTAGGCACAAACAGGCACAAACATTGAGCACCTAGGTACATACTCCGTAGGCATCTCACAATTGCATCGATGGTTTCTGTTGCGCCAAGACCAACCATGCACAGCTCTCAGAGCCCTTTGACGCCACAATGAGCTATAGGGTAGCCGTCACCCCTTGCATCATTGCACCGTCTCCGGTCGCAAACCCTCAAATGAATGTTGACCCGCGCGTCGTCGCGAGTGGAAATTCCCACCGACTAGCTCCAGCTCCCAACATCAGCTGTCTGCAAACCACATCTGCATTCGCGGTTGGACACGGTTTCTTCAACATCGCCACCTAGCGTCAGGGTAAATACAATCGCGCTTCGATTCCACTTCCCCTGCTGCACCCACCAGCTAACGGGACAATCTCTCTCAGCATTCCCGACGTTTTTCTTCTTCACAGCACAGCATCATTCCCCTGTCCACCTCGGCATCACCAGCCTCAACGTCAAACCACCGCCATGGACGCTCTTCGAACCGCTATACAACCAATTACCCACAACCTCCCCCCTCCGATCCGCGACCTCGGCGTCTCCATTATCGGCGACAAGTGCTACAAAACTCTCCTCCTCGACGTGGACCTCGAAAACACAGAATGCCTCAAGCTCGCCGTGTCCAAGGGCCTCGGCATCGGCATCATCGCCGCCTCCTCCATCGTCAAGGTGCCCCAGATCCTTAAGCTCGTCAACTCAAAGTCCGCAGAGGGCGTTTCATTCTTGTCGTACCTCCTCGAGACGAGCGCATACCTCATCACTCTCGCCTACAATGTCCGCAACGGCTTCCCCTTCAGCACCTTTGGCGAGACGGCGCTGATCCTAGGCCAAAACATCATCATCTCCGTGCTGGTGTTGAATTACAGCGGGAAGGCAAGCATGGCTGCTGTCCTGGTGGCCGCCTTGGCTGGGAGTGTTGCAGCGTTGTTTGCGGAGAATGTTTTGGATATGAAGGCCCTCAGTTATTTGCAGGCCGGCGCGGGTGTCTTGGGTGTTGCGAGCAAGGTTCCCCAGATTCTGGCCATTTGGCAGGAGGGCGGTACTGGCCAGCTCAGCGCCTTTGCTGTATGTGTTTCCCACTGGAGGCTCTCCTCACAACTCTTGTCTTTGTGGTCAGGCGCTAATGAGTTTTCAGGTCTTCAATTACCTCGCTGGTTCTCTATCTCGAATCTTTACTACCCTCCAGGAGGTGGATGACAAGCTTATCCTGTATGGCTTCATCTCCGGCTTTACCTTGAACCTTGTCCTGGCTCTGCAAATGATCTACTACTGGAACGCCCCCTCTCAAAAGGCCAAGGGCAAGCGGAAGGCGGTGCCAATCGAGGCAAAGGCCAAGTCTAGTTCAACTGGAACTCCTAAAAAGGGACCAACCACTCGCCGCCGTGGTTAGCTTCCGCGATTTGCCGTTTTGTTTTGATGCGCCTGGTGCCGTCGTTTTTGTGCACCATAAATATAATTAATACGTCACGTTAAAATGCGACCAAGTTCAGGTGCTACTTCGAGCACAGCTAGCAATGCCACATGCTATGACCAATTATTGAAGTCGTGTCTTTTGCGTCATGATGTTACGCAATACAACCATATGTGTAATTCTGTCCATGGTGAATACCCCAAGCAGATTCATATCAGCCCATCCATCCATTGGTGTCGCCTGCACCAATAGCTTGATACACCTATTATCCCATCCTGAAACGCCAAAGCTACCACCGAAATTAACTTAATAAACGCCATTTTCAAATGCTCACCCAACCACTTAGATTCCGTTGCCTTTAACATCATCTTCAGCATAGGGACAGCCCCATGTTGGGCCACCCAATGTTGCCAAATGCTTTCCTCCCTGCGCAACATAGGCACCGCTTCTCCTCGCCCAAGTTGCTCACCGAGCAGCTGAAGCAAACGTGCTTCCCGCATGCGCCACACGTCGTATTATCCGCCGTCAAATCGTCCACAGCCATTTCATGAGCGTTGCCGCCGGGTCCCAGACCCGCTCCACAGTCCTCACAACTCGTCGGTGCGAGAGCGGGCTGTTCAACAGTCGATTCACTGACGGGCGAAGGCGCTGAATTGATGCTCCAAAAGCGATGGAGAGACTGCTGCTTCCGCGGCTCAGATGCAGACCCTGTTTGGGGAAGAGGCTGGAAGCCGGTTTCTCGGACAGTTTGTGATTGCTGCTGCTGCGCTGAGAACAGTAGATTCAATGTATGCTCTATGATGAATTTGTAAGCGGGTTGGGTTCTTGGTCCACGCGAGGGCAGCCGGTGGTTACGTACGGTGGACTATCTCCTCTGACGGCCTGTTATTTCGGAATCGTTTCATTGTTCGACTGTTCAGGTGGGCGGGTGGCATGTTGTAAAAGGCTTGTGGGTTTACGTCGATTGCGGAGTTGCTAGGTGGTGAGCTGAAGATTGAGGAGCATGAGGAGGGTGACGAGCAGAGCTCGGGCTCGGAACGCTTGCGCTTGAGGGTCATGTTGGTGGTATGAGTGGCAGGACGATTAATTGGACTGATTGAATGATTATGAAGATAAAGTGCGTTTGGTTGCTGTAGTGGAATAGGTGAGGCGCGTGGTGAGGCGACGCGGTGACGGTTCCTGTGAAACGGGCTGGTTCGCGTCGGCGTGTTAATGGGTGGGCTGGGCGCGGACAAGCGGCTTGGCCCACTCACTCCCCACAGGCCCCTCCATCGAGCTGTACTCCGTATGTATAACTTCACACCAGACATGCGTGCTACTCTGTCAGCTCCTCATAGATACTGGCTTGGTGGTTATGACAAACGAAGACAACTACTAGTCCGAATGCTGACGAGAAAATATTTACCCTAAGATAACTGCCCGTTCGTATCCATCAAACGCGAGCTTCATGCTGCCAGAAGCTTGGAACTCCGCTCCGTGGTTGGTTGAACCAGACCGTGGTCGACTTCGACGACGCACCTCAGCGCACCAAGTCTTCATGGTTTTGGATTACATTAGCGGTCAGCCCCTCACGAAAAAATTACTTCGAGATAACTCAGAAGAATGCCGGTGTCAGTTCCCTTAGGGAACTTATCGATATGTTTACGCTTCAGGCTTTGAACCCGGAGGAAGCTCAAGAGACTTTCAGCGTAGAGGCTGACTCATCCGAGGATTCCTTTTGTCTATCCCGCCCTGATCTCTGCCTCGATAATATCATCGTGGACGACGAGCTTCATATGCGCGGCGTCATTGACTGGGAGGAGTTCTCGGCTACAGCACGGGACGGTTGTCTACCCTGCATCAGTTGCTTCTAGAATTGACATGTCATCCGACTGCATGAATGTGATGTCCTCAAGGAAACAGCTCTCGCCCAACCAACCTTTGCTTGCGTAGGATTGGTATTTTCGAGATGAGTTAAAGTTGCTGATGACTTAGCCATCCAACCTCGGTTGGCTCCTCTACAGATGCATCTACCCTGGGCTATACGATGAATCTCGCGACAAGATAGCCCCTGCTTTCTTCCAACGTCCTGAGAACCAGGGGCTGCAGGCAAGTTTGCAACGGCGATTGCGTTCTTCTGAGCGGTACACTCTCCATCTCAAGAACAAACAACCTCTCTGACGATGAGGAAGCAGAATGGCAACAAATGCATCTGCAGTCGCGCCCTGAGCGAGCCTCAGACTTGCCACGAATTCATGCACATACTATGCGAATCACCAAGGAGGTCATCGCATCCCACATGGCCGCGGCTGTCTTACTATCCAGGCTCTATGTAGCGGGAGCTGGTGTCGGTTTAGCCTGCTGCAAAAACATCACCGGGAGAGTGTGGATGTGATCGTGTCTCATTTCAAGACCCAATTTGATGGATGGGACACACGATAACCACTTGCACAGTCCGTCCAGAGAATCCCCAGGCTCAAACACGATTAGCATATGACGACGGCAAGAGGGCCTGCATCGCCACAAGAAGCCTGTCTGTCTATTTCGTCGAATGTATCATTATTACGCTCCGGGTACGATCCCATTCGCTCGTTTGATCGTATAGAATATCGCCGACATATCAACCGCCCGCCCCTTTTTGTGCAAACTCACACATATACACGCGCACGCGCGTAATTTTCGTCCTCTTTTAGTTGTTCGGATATCATTCATTCTTCTTCATATTCTTCCTCATCATCGTCTTCCTCATCATCGTAGCCGTAGTAACGATCAAGAGTATAATCGTCAATTCTTTCGTACCAAGGGGCTCTGCTCCGCCTTCCATACCCGTACTGACTCCAGCCCGAGTAGTAGGAGCTGGAGTCTGAGAAAAAACGATCAGCGGTCAGTAATATAATGCAGGTGATGGGGACCGAAAAGCATATGCGGTTGCATACCTCTGTGGGGGTTGATGCCAAGCTGATCAGCAACATTGATGTAGCCTTCACTCGACATGCCTCCGTCCGTTGCCACTTTTGGAACCAATCCAGAATCAGTTTCCCACTTGCTGCGGCAAAAAGGGCAAGTCACGTCTCCTGTCTTGGTCTTGGCCCACATCTTAAAGCAGTCCTGATGGATGTTTTGTCCACACGCCGCCTTACACCAGACGATTGACTCGGGGCTCTTGGTGTCAAAGGCACAGAAGCAAATGGGGCACTCGCCCTCGATATCTTTGCGCTTCCCGCTCTCGGATTCCCTTGCAGGGCTGCGCGACGGCGCCTTTGCAAAGATGGACCGTAGCTCAGTGCTCAGGAGCGCGAGCTGATAGACAAGTTCGTACGGGGCCTGAAGCACCCTGGAAAGAATCTGGGAAACAGTCAGCAACGCCGTGATACAGTATTCCAAAACCAAAAAAAAAACAAAATGTTGGACTGCTTCAACCCGTACGTAAATAACGTGTTTGCACTGATTCCCTTTCAAAGCATGGGGGCAGTCACAGGTCGGCTGCTGCTTAATGTGAACGGTATATATATTGCCGGTGGACCCCGTCATCTTGAATATTTCCTCAGGACACTCGTCTGTTCCGCTGGGAGTTCTTTCGAGGACATAAAACCGCTGGCTTAGTGCCCGGTCATGCACGTTGTGGAATGCCAGTGGCGGATGGGAACGGTGTGCTCGCAGTCGTTTCTCTGTGGGTGGTGACGAGCCATCCTCTGGAGCTTTTCTCTTCCGTCTGGGCGTTGACGAAGACTGAGGAACGTGAGCAGTCGAGGCTGCCCTTTTCATACCGGGCATTCTCTTGGGCGATGGCGCGACGGTCTCGTCGCATGTTAGGTCGATTGGATCCTGTTGACTTGAGCCCGCCTCGAGTCCTTTCTTCAACACCGCCCGGTTCATCTCGGGCTTCCTGTTGTAGGCGCCTATGCGGTGACCTGGGCTGATGGCTTGCGCCTTTTTTTTTGTCGTCCTCGCTCTCCAAGAACACCGCACTGTTTTATTTCAATTGGGATCAAAACGGCGGAGACGGCTGGTATTGTTTCTGACGACGGCACGGACAAACTAAGCCCTTACGCGTGGACGCAGCAGCGCTCGTAAAAGACAATACCACGACGCGTAGTGATCACAACGCGTAGATGGAATTTGCGTCGCCTTTACTGAAAAGAATAAAAATGGCATGCAAAGCGACTGACTTCGGATTCTTGCTAAAAGCCAAATTGTAGCTCTTTTGTCAGGGTGCCAGAGAAAAGACGAGTTCGCAAGTATTAGCACTCGTAGCGCTAAACATGCACAATTCGAATCTTCGAAGCTGTCAATCTGATCTCCCCCCACTTACTCCGTAAATGCACACAGTACTCCAGATGCCTCAAGCCATGTCCCAGGAGGGCAGTTCTGCCAGCCCACACCACACCGCCTTCCTCCCTAATGACGGAAATCCTTCCTCCTGCCAGGATATAATTACCCATCTTCAAGTGCAAACTCATGTTCTGCCACGTGGAAAAGCGTGGCAGGTTATAGCCATGGGCCTTTGAAAGTACCCAGACAAGAACACATGGAGTCTGGAATGCAGGACATGTTAGATCGAGCGCTTTTTGTATTCGCCATCTATTGCTATGCAGTAAATCACAAAATCCCATTTCCCATTGAACCTAATCATTCTCAGGTTCTCCTTCATCCCATCTCTTTGCCCTCGTGTCCATATTGCTCCCAGACATGGAAATAATAAAACCACACCCAAACAACGCCGGAGGGTGGCGAATAGCTTAATTTCAAATCAAATATCCACGGGAGAGACAACTGCCCTTTCCCGTCCGAGATGCGCCGTCCATTCGCCACCCCTAAATGTATCCAAGGACAAAAGGAACTAAGAGAAAGGAAATATTGCGACGAAACGTCATATGTTCAACTAAGGTACAGGCCGTCGTGACTTGTCCACTGCTCATACTGGAGTATGGCGAATATATGTGACAATACGGCGGGGTTTGAAGACGATGTTAGGAAAAGAGATATGCCATGTCTATGTTGCGGGCATATTTTGCGTGTGTGCTTGTGTGCATTTGGAGGTGAATTAGACAAGGAATAAAAAATACTAGTTAAGATTAATGGCGAGATATCGTCGAGACTCATCCACATGGTTTAGGTCATCAGATAGCTTCAGTGCCGTGTGGCCGACGTAGATGTGGCCGTATAAGAGATCGTTGATGTATTCGTCAAAGTTCGTGGCAACCGGTCGTCTCAGGCAGTAATATTTTGGTCACCTTGCACATACGAGCTGGCAGGAAGACCGATCAAAAGACGCGCATGAACGAGTAATGCCGCAGGGAGTGCTGCATCATTTCTTTCTTGGGTCTTACTGCTGTCGGGGGTCACGAGGGGGTTGAAATTGTTGATTTCGTGCTTGCTGCTGAGCCATTAACCAAGCAGCGCTGCCGGTTTGCTGTACGAGCTGCTCGGCAGGGACCTTGACGTCTTGTCCATGGCTGGGCACGATGCGGCCGGTGCTTGCTGATGACGAGCTCGAGGCGCCAGGAACAAGATCGGTAACGGCCTGAGCAATAGATGCCACTACGTAGCCGCGAAGTTCCTCGTCCTCCCGCTGATCTTCCTTCTCGAGACGAAAACGTTCGTCCTTGTTCATGTTACTTCGTCGAATGTTCTTGATCTCTTGTGTGATGTAAAGCATGACCTCCTCGGGGCAACGGTTGCGCTCGGCAGCTGATTCATTGTTTCGTACATATCGTCGTGTTACGTCGGTCGCTCCGTCGATGGAGAAGGCAATGCAGTATGACATCTTCTTGCCCCATCCTTCGGTGTAAAGACGAGGGCTATCCCAAGCCTCCTCACACGCATCGACATGAACCCATCTTCGCTGATGTTCTGAGTATACCTCGGTCCACACATGGTCTTCGGCGTTCCACACCCATCTGACTCTGCCACCAACGGCGCGGCAAAGCATGCTGAAGCAGTTCGCCCATTCACCAACACGTCCTCGTCGGGTCTGAAGTAGCCGCCACACATCACCATAGCGGGGGAATCGCTCATAGGCCCCGCAGTTTTGAGCAGAGCATCTGTATAGTTCTACACGAAGGGCACCGCAAGCGCTTTCTTCGGGGGTAGGGGCTGTCATTCCCTGCGCAATAGTTGGCGACAGACATACCGGGCAAGGAGGATTGTTCACCCAGGTAAAGAACGACCGCTTGAACCATCTAGAACGTCGAAGTCAGTTAACTGGACAAAGTAAGAGAATAGATACATGTGGTGATCTGGACATACCGGAGAAGTGCGCGAATTACACAATCCTGATATCCCCATTCCGGTCGACGGCCATCACCCATACTCTCTGCCTCAGCTTGTAGGACTTGACATTCCTCTTCGGCTTCGCTGTAGATTCGATCGAGTGGAATGGTCTGCAAAGCTTCATCCAACAAACCGGGATTCTCATACTTTGTCGGAGTCAATGATAGGCTGATCATCAAGTTTCGGAACTTCTGCGAGTCTCGATCTCCAGCAGCTGGTGCTGTTGGGATTTTGGGAAGATGGCGGATACACGAGTATGACGGGGGTGTTGATGGAGTCTCACTGCCATGCGCGGTTGCTGGTCTATTGTCGGTGAACGAGGCATGGGCAGCCAGGTTAGCACTCGAGGCTCGGCCTGATAAGCCGGGGGACTGGTGTCGCGGTGAATGACTCCGAGTGCAAGAGCGCAAGTCATTCATGCGCTTGTCCCTCAAAAGGCCCTCAAACTTGAGGCGAAGATCGCGTGCCCATTCCTCCCCATACTGGCCATCTGAGGACGACGGGTTGGAGTCGAACGGGGTGCCTCGACCCTCCATAGTGAAATAACTGCAGCTCGGGGATATCGTCAGTCAAGTCGGCGATGAGGATGCCGCTGAGCAGTTGTATGTCGTGTTGTAGACAAATGGGACGTTCGAACACAGGTCGAGATGGAATATGAAGATCCGAAATGAGATGTGCCGGGTAGAAATGAGATGCTGGGTGAAGTGTTGTCGCAACTAGGCAAGCGTGGTCGTGGTCGTGGTCGTAGTCGTTGTCGTAAGCTGAATGGATTCGTAGGCCTCGCGAGTCGCCACTGCTAACGAAACCACCCTGGAACCACTGAAAGGACCGGCAGATGCCCGCGGCTGCGGCGAATTTCCTAACAAGTCAATTCGGATAGATAAGACGATGTATCGAATGCAATACAAAGCCGGTGATGCGACTATGCGTCCACCGGGACAATGTAGCCGTGAGGTCTTGTGAAGTGAGTGTCTGGTCTGAATTGGCAGCCGTCAGGTGGCGACGCTGATAGGAAAGTCAACCCAGACGAGGACTTGATGGGGGAGGAGCGGATGGTAGTAGCAATCAATGGCACTAGATGGACAACGGGTCTGGTACGGAGTACGCAACACTTCGCAGGCCAAAGGGACCGCGGACAGGCCTGCAGTGCGGTGGACCAGGGGCGCAGAAGGGGAAGTAAATGGACCAGTTGACTCGACATGGATTCAAGATGGCGCTGGCGGTTTGTCTCGGGCGGCGGGTTTGCGTCTTCGTCCGTCTTTCTTCGTCAAGACCCTCAAAGGCGTTTACGCGTCAGCTTGTGTGCCACGGCCAATTAGCGGCGGTTTAATGCCTCGATGTGGAGACGAGCTGGGCAAGATGGGTGCTGCCAGTGTTGAGAATTGGCCGTGGAAGTACCGATACTTCCGGGAGCCGCGCAGACGGACGTCACGTACTCCGTACTTACGTACAACATCGAATCGCGCGCCAAAGTCTAACTGTGTGTAATCCTGGAAGACCACAACAGCAAACTCTGACTGGAATCTGAGCGAAATATACCTACCTAGGTAGGTATATACTAAGTAAGTAATATGTAAGCTTGCGGCGTTGCAGTGCCGTTCATGCATATCCAGGTATTAGATCTCCTGGCAGTATGCCATGGACAGACAATTACTAGTCTCTTTGCTGAACGATTGGTTGTAAGTCTCAACCAGTGGCGACGACTGATGATGACGACGCCGACGGGTACTACTGAGTCAGGTGTTTTGTTTACCATATCTGCCAGCAAAGTGACGAGGTACCCAAGTACACTTTCTAACATCCATTTCGGTCGACAACGTGGTGCAAGTACCTGTACCTCAATGAGGCTTGAGCCTCCCCACCCGCTTGACAGGGGTCCAAGAGGCGATGACGAGGCACGGCAACCACGCATTTGTCCAACGAGACAATTTTTGAAGGGTGCGTGTTTCCACGGCCCAGCTTTCTCCCAGCACGTACTACTCTACGCAACCACTGGGCTGCTGTGCCACAGCCCAACCACAATCAGCCCATGACCAATCATGACTGGCCATGACGAGAAGCCGAAGGCGTTGGCAAACACATCAGCGAAACCATCAGCTCAGCGACAGATGTGACTTTCAATCTTACGAACCGGATCCTCCTTAATATCCACCGGACGTTTGAACTGTGGCGTGTGCTGTCCGATCGGTTGTAAATGCATCCTCGCATCGCAAATGTTGCCGAGCTGACCAATACCTGGCTAGGCTTGCCTGTTTTCCAGATCCACGATGCGGGACGACAGCTAAACTGGTAGGGCCAAGTATTCTACTTCAACGGGGCTAGTTGCTTCATGGTTGCGGCTGTTGGATAGCAATTGAGCTTCGTTCTGGCCGAAACCTGAGACAGAATCAAGCCGAGATTCCTTCCAATTGATGACTTTGTCAACTCTCAATGCGAATGTTGGCACGGAGCACGCAGCATCCGTTCTCAAATTGCCTGGCTCACTAGCCTCGTGCTTATGAAAGTGTGGCGCATGCTCCATCACAGCCTCAGCCTCTACCTACATGGGAACCTAAATCTCTCTGCTCGCTCTGGATTCAACCTTGTAGTCCGTATCTCTCTGTCCTCCGTCTTCATGCATTTCGCTGGTCTGAAGAAGTCGTGATGGAATCGATCTTATAGCCAGGCTATTTGAAACTTTCTGCCCCGCATACCCTCACCCTTGCCCAAGACAAGCTTTTTTTGCTTTCGTTCTGGCCTTAACCGCCAATGGTGGATCTTGACAATCTGTACATGCATACCTACCTACCTATACCTAGGTAGGTACATAAAAGAGGGACGCGCGGTATCCGGCTGTGGCTGATAACTTCCAGGCTTCTGGTCGCAGTTGAGAATGGCTAAGAGAACTCATCTAGTTGATTCTCGCATGGCTAGGGCCCTCACCATGTTACATGGCCATCTCATGTCCAAGATGGGATTTTACCTTCTAATACTCCGTACCCAGTCACTACTTGAGGGCAGTAGAACAAGACACTATCTTAAGTCATCACTGCTGTGAAATCTCACCCATACCAACTGGGTAAGGACCACTCTCTGACCCACTGCCACATCAGCTTCGCCATCTCCAGACTCCATCCCATCTCTGTTCACCACCACGCAAACTGTCCTAGTCTTTTGCCGTAAGTGTATCATGTCTCACACAAGACACCAAACACAGCACGAGGCCTTAATCTTAAGCGTGGTGTTTCTGTTCTCGAGCGTCTTCTCGAATCTTTTTACCCCGGCGAAGCTTAAGCAGCACAGAGCATGCTCCTTGACTCGAATTCGCGGGACGCGCGTCGTCTTGACGGTACAACTTCAAATTTGGAGCTCCACTCTATTCTGCAACCGGTGTCATATAATTCTGACGTTGAAATCTTGCACAGAGCGTCCGTAGGTCCGGCAAGATGGATACTTAGCTGACATGTGCCGCGCCATGCATGGGTCGAAGCATTGCGCATGCCACCTACGGACCGAAAAGACGACTTATACTGGCCGTCCAGATCAGCAATATGGAAAAAATTTTTCCTTCAGGATGACATTTTGACACCTAATGTGATATACCTCCGCGTCGCCCATAATATAGACAGCAATCAGGGTTCTGCCAACCCAGTCCATGCACAATCCCGTTCGGCTTGACTAACACTCGTACGGGACATCTGGAACCTAGCCGATTCTCTCTTTGTTAAACATTCTTCAATCTTATATCTACTGGACCCAGAATTAACTGCCAAGGACAGATCCCTCTTCGTAACCGACTTTGAAGACTGCCCGATGAGCCGGTGTAATGCCTGTAATAGCTACTGGCGTTAAGGGTTATTATGCCAGCCCTACCGTCGCAAGTCATCTAGACAAGCACACACTCGCCAGAGGCGACATTATCATGAGTCCTTGTAATAATTCGCATTTCCTCTTCTAACCTCATCCAAACCCCCAAAGCACTCGTGCCACACTTCGCCTTCATCAAGATCAAGTATACATCGCCATGGCAACATCCACATCAGCTGACATGTAATCCCGAGTCTCGAACGCCCTTCGTCAACACGGAGGTTTCCAGGCATGATGCTGAATCCCCACAAGTACCCGACTGATTCGGAAAAATGGGAGGCGATTAGGTGTCAAAAGATGCTCGCTCGTGGTCCGGGCCGCGCGTAGCATGCCCACCAACGGCTGGGCTAAGAAAGTCCATATGACCATCTGCAATTTTCTCTTGCCAGACTGCTTCACCCGAGAGTGAATGACTTCCCAAGGAATACCCAAGTTGGTGTATACCATTACAAGAGGCAGCAATTTCCTCGTGTGGTCGTGACGTCATATATCCTATCAAGTAGCCACCAGGTGAAAGACGAGCTTCTCTATATCCCGTGTAATGAATCATTAAGGTATTCAAACCTCGGTGTTCTAGCTTTGGTGTATTTCCCTTTCATTACCAGTAGATACAAAAAAGTAGCTGTACATGCCCAACAGACCTATGTCTCGCCTCCTCTGCACCCCCTCTTGCAGGAACAAAGATATCTTGCCGCCCGAGCACGCTCCGCTTTCAGTCGTCATCAAAAGGTCAATCCCGCCCAAATACAACCCCTTTTGGGATGGCGGTGGGCAAGACCAGCTCCTCGTCCGCGCCAACACCATTCGTGGAGTAGCTCGATACCTCGGAAGCGACCCGTTTGCATGAAAGATACGTCGAGATGCCTTGGATTGAATCAGCACCAATGTTGTCGTGTAATTAGTTTGCACGGTCCCATTCTTCCCCTGCAAAGTACCTCTCGGGTGTTTCCACGTCCCAGGTAGGTCTCTCAACCAGAGCGACTTCCACGTCCTGACCGGGAGTATCTATCGGTACTACACCGAGAATAGGGCGATACTTGTATGTTATCCACCACTTTTTGGCTTCAACCGTGGTCGATCCTGTACTTTGGAGAGCAGTCTTGCCGCTGATTGTAGTTGAGCGAAGCTTGGACAGTTCGCCATCGGCATCCACCATGTCCTCGTCGCTGTCGCTGTCACCAACTTCGGGTGCCTTAACCACATCAATATCTTCCCACTGCTCGTCGGCACCGTGCTTTCGAACTTGGTGCGGGGCGAGGTTCTCTCTCTCCATCTTGCCTCCGGCACCGGTTGTTTGACCAACCCTCTTGCGCTTCGTTCCCTGCGTGAGTTGCGAGTCACCACCCTCAGCTTCCGGGACCCTAGGAAGGTCCTGCCCCATATCAAGCATGAGTAAGAATGACACGCCATACACCCACATCCGAGAGCCCTGCCATAGGATGCCCTTTGGCAGATCCAGGAGGTCTCGAACCGGTCCGGGCAGGGCCTTTCGAGGGTGCCGACGCGACCATGAAGTAAGAGCGCCATGACGAGGATTGAAGGCTAAGACGTTCCATGATGAGGTTACCACGGCTAGGATGTAATCGTCGACTCCATCTTTTTCGGCCCCTAGAGATGATTCTGATTCGGGTACGTAGTCCGAGAAGGATAGAACGACAGGTGATGATGGTAGTTTGGGTAATAGCTTCGCGTTAGGGTTGCGAACCCACCGGTCTTGCATATTAGAGGCCCCTTCATCCTCTTCATCAGATGAATCATTGTCAGAAGAGGCCGATGCCGCGTCATCGAGCGTCTCCATTTCGTCACCGGTCTGCAAATCCTGATCGTGGTTACGCAATGCCCATGTGTCAATATATCCAGCCAAGTCAGCCACCGCAACCATTTTCGAGTCAGCGCTGAATGTGATTTGCGTAATGCTCCGGTCGTAGCTGCCCAGACCGCCATTCAGGATGTATCTTGGGATCTGGCGACGAAGTCGCGAAAGCCGTTGAAGCCTGATGGGGGCTTCGGCAGTTTCTGTAGACGTATGTTCGGTTTGGATCTGGGCCATGAGAACCCGAGATCCTTCTTGGACCACGAGCAACCACCGCCCATCGGGAGAGAGCTTGACCTGCGTAGCGCCAAGCTGTGACAGCCTGACTGGCAGCTCAAGGCTCGACAGCTTCACGTCTGAAGGCTTGGCAGGGTCTTCATGCTGAAGCCGGAAAGCTTTAACGTCGGTGGCAGTAGACACGAACAGTAGGGTGCCATCAGGATTAATTGTGGCGGAAGCGATATTTGAATCGCCTTTAACAACGATAGTCTTCAGTAGTTTCCGATTCTGGTTGATATCAACAAGTTCCTCTCCGGACTGCAGCAAATCGGCAGCTGACTTGCGTAAAACCCAAACATGAACCTCCCTCTCCCACCAGCTGATGATGAATCGTGCCCTCGGTGCGCTGGTGACGGGTGGTTGTTGAGGCAGGTTGCTCATCATTCTGTGATTTTCTCGGCCCATTTCTTTCAGCGGGACAACCATCAAGCTTGCGTCGGGTCCTGTTGCCATGTTAGTTGGTCGGGTCTTGTGAATAGGGGACAAATGTATCCTACCTCCTGAAACTACAACGCTGATGCGCCCGTGTTCAAAAGAGGCCATTGCTTTGACATCGTGGTCATGGTAGCGGCGACCCCAAACCTTGCTCCATCGCTGACCGGCGCCCGAGTTTTGCTTGTAGAGCATTGTCCTGCGGTCCATGCCTCCGCTGATGATGGCTGTTCCGTCTGCGCTTGTGGCAAGACTGAGGACATCCGACTTGTGACTCTGAATCCTTTGGGCCTGAGTGTACGTCTTCCCGTCCCAAATGCAGATCTGGCCTGTTGAGTCGCCAGAGACAATATTGCCATTTGGTAGGCATTTAACTGACCAAACAATGATGTCCTTGGAGCCACCGAGGAGATCCGAGCCAAGGGTCATTCTTCGCAGCATATGGCCCTTTGTAATATCATAGGCTCTGATGGTGCTGTCGGAGCATCCTACAATGACGACTTTGCGGGATTGGAAGGTGATGCTGACCATCTGAGCTTTTTTTGTGGGCGATTTGACGAGGACTCGCTGGAACCTCAGATCGTCGTCTTCCAGGGAGTACATGACTAGCTCTCCATCAATGGTTCCGGCAATCAGTTTTTTAGAATTCTGCGCCTCCTGGAAGCCGCCAGTAACCTGCGGCTTGTCGCTCTGAGGCTGTGCCGCAATGCACCAAATATCACCATGTTGGCCGCTGGCATGTCGCTTTGGTTTGCCTTTTTCGAGATCCCATTCAGTAACTGTAGATGTATAGCCAATGCTGAAGAGGCGCGACTTCCCAATGGCTACGTGACCGTCGCCTAGATCCTGATCGGGTTCGTTGACCCAAACCAATCCATCAACGCTCCTATCCTTTCCGCCTCGGATGACGAGCTCCTGAAGCCAGGTCCCGCTAGAGGGATTCCATATTTCAATATCGCCATTGGCGCGTCCGACGGCTAGCCTTGCTACAGCATTCTGCTTGGCTGTTCTTGTCTTGGGGTGAGAGAAAGCGACAGCGTTGATGGCGGAGGGCCGATACGGCACGAAACGACACCGATGCACATCCATTGCGTCGGCCTATCTTTGCTTGTTCGACGCACGGGAGATGCACAGGGTCAATACCTGGGCACAATAGCTTCCAATCCACGAATTCCAGCCGCCGAACACCGGAGGATTGTGTGTTTCGGGGTGTTTGGGCTGCGTGTTGTTCGATCGGGTTCTTTCGACAAGGCAAAAAAATGAGGATGCAGCCTCGCGTTGATTTTTTTTTTTTTTGCCTGCAGAGCCAAACGGCGATTTAAGGTGTGGTCAATGCACGAAATGCCCCTCCACCCCACCAATGCCATCGTACCAGATGCAATAGCTACACTGGCACTTCACGTCTTTCGGTGACTCAGCTTTTGCTTTGTCACTTCCGAGCCTCAGTGCGATAAGTCCGACCTCTGCTCTAGCCGACAGACAGCCAACCCTCGTACTCGCTGTTCCGATCCAACCTCGAGGTATCGAGCACGGCGGTCCTTCTACCCCTCTCCGAGTCAACGACGGCGCAATTCGCATTGGCGCGCCACCGAGGTGTTTGTTTAGTCTGGGACAGAACTACGACTAGACGAACGAACCACAGCTCTGGCTCGGATCGCCATCAAGGTGTCAGGAGTTGCAATACTGAGTCTCCAATCCTGCGACTGTGGCCCATGATTCCCTTCCTGTGGCAAAGCTCTTTCATTGTCTGCTAGTTGCGGTAGTTTCTTGCATCCAACTCAATACACTATCATGGATTTCAACAGTTCGTCGCCCTTCCCCGAGGGCGTCATTTCCTTTCTCGACACCGATCTGTACAAGTTGACGATGCAATGCGCCGTCTTCAAGTTCTTCAAAGACGTTCCCGTGACATATGCTTTCACCAATCGTACACCTGATAAGAAGCTTTCAAGAGTTGCTTTTAAATGGCTTGACGAACAAATCCGAAGTAAGTGCGAGACACCGCGGCCGCAATCAACCCTCCTAACAATATTCCCAGAGCTTGGAAACATCTCCCTGTCCAATGGCGAATATCAATTTCTGAAAACACATTGCACGTATCTGACTGACGACTATCTCAATTATCTGCGCGATTTTCAACTCCGACCTAGAGAGCAAGTTACCGTCACGTTTACAACCGTTGGCAAGGATTCCGGAGCCGATTCGGATATTGGTGATATTGACATCAAGATTCAAGGAACATGGTCCGACACCATCTTGTACGAGATTCCCATTCTTGCCTTGACATCCGAAGCATACTTTCGATTCATGGATACCGACTGGAATTACGACGGCCAGGAAGAACTTGCATTTCACAAAGGCATGCAGCTCTTGGAAGCCGGTTGCATAACTTCGGAATTTGGCACTCGAAGACGACGTGACTACCACACTCAAGCCCTGGTGTTCCGCGGGTTGGTCAAGGCATCCAAGGCTGCTGCGGAGAAGGGCTTCCCTGGTAAGCTGTCTGGGACATCCAACGTACACTTGGCTATGAGGTTCGGCATTCCTCCTGTAGGAACTGTTGCCCATGAATGGTTTATGGGCACAGCTGCCATTTTTGATGACTATAAGAAAGCTACAGAACTAGCGCTTCGGCACTGGGTCGGCTGTTTCGGCTCGAATCTAGCCATTGCCTTGACAGATACATTCGGCACCGCAGAGTTTCTTCACTCTTTTAGCCTACCTGTGCAAACAGTTGAAGGCGGTATGTCAGGTGATATTTTCAAGAATGAGGACGGTTCTACCAAGACCTATGCCGAGTTGTTCACGGGCGTGCGACAAGATTCTGGAGATCCTGCGGAATATGCCAAGTTGATGCGGAATTATTACGATAAGCAGGGCATCAAAGAGAAGAAGATTATTGTATTCTCTGATTCACTCAACATCGAGCGCTGCTTGGAGTACAAAAAGGTTTCGGAGGAGCTTGGGTTCCAGCCAACATTTGGCGTTGGCACGTTCCTCACCAATGACTTTACGCACTTGACAACTGGAACCAAGTCAGTGCCCCTGAATATTGTCATCAAGCTTAGCTCCGCAGCAGGACGACCAGCTATCAAGATTAGGTGAGTGCTACTGATAACCAGCATCAAAACACTTTTCATTTACTCATTACAACCAGCGACAATATTGGCAAGAATACCGGGGACAAAGACCTCGTTGAAAAGGTTAAGAAAGAGCTTGGCTACGTGGAGCGCGAATGGAAAGAGGGCGACGAGACCTCGCGATGGGGTAAAGAAGAAAATGCGCAAGCATAGGTGGCGGAATTTATTAGAACATGGTGGTATCTTGCCGAAATTAGATGTTTGACGATATAGAATCGACTAGTCCCAGTCTTGGATAGGGCTTCAATACACTATACAGTGGATATATATGCCATTGGCAGAATCCATGGCGGCAAGTTCGGCAGAGGGACAGGACTGTTTATCTTTCTATTGATATTTGCCCCAACTGTCGCCCACGCAAAACTCGTTCGAATCGATATTAGACTGAGCATGTGTTAGCCGCAATGTCAAGGTAAGTGCTCCCCATGTAAAACCATGGTGACTTGCCAAAAAATACTAGGAGGAAGTAGCGGATCGAACACGCACACGACTCCTCAATCTTCGACGGCCAACATTTCTTTTGAAGACCTGTCTTTCGAGTACTTTCAACTCCATCAATCATCACTCCAGTCGAAAATCCTTCGTTTTTTGGACGCCTTTTTGGAACCATTTTTGGAACTTTTTGTCTTGGAGCGCATCCTTTTCCACTTCGTGACATCTACCATCAAGCATTTTCCAGCCCCCTTTTCAGAAGAATGTCCGACTCTTTCTGTTCAAATGTTCTGAGGGACTTGAAGAGAAGCCCTTCCTTCCCTCAGAACAGTCGTGTGCTGGCTTTCATTGTTTTGATATTCTTCGGTTCACTCATAGCTGGAACCGTCCGCGTTGTCACGACACATGTTCCGCCAAGAAAACCATCATTAGATGCCCGACAGTTTCAACTCGGAAGCATACTAGGTGCTAATGCGCTTCAGGCAAGTTAATGATATTGTTTGCTAGCATGACGCTTAATTGACATGTTTAGGCTATGAGATCGAGTGATGTCGAGGAAGGAGCTCAGAAGATTGACTCCCATCTGGATACCGATGCGGAGAACTCAAAACACACAACCTCATTTTCCTCGCCAGGTGCAACTTCTACATACATATCCATAGCTGAGAGCAGCATTCTAATAGATGCTGTCACGGACGTGGACACCGTTCGCCCACCGCCTGCATTCGATTTGCTTGCGGCACTGATCGAGGCCTTCAAACCAGTTGTTAACACCTCTCGGGTCGCAAACTTGCCCTTAAAGAAGCATGCTTTGGCTCAAGAAGTCAGACTATCAGTCACCAAGCCATCAAAAAAGCGTGATCCGTCTGCCAGCACAACCTCAGTTGTGTCTTCTGATAGTTTCCAAGCAGGGAGCTTATCGTCAACGCCATCACCGGGAAGATTTCAACAAACTGGCCCTTCATCAAATGAAGTTGGCGGTCCACAAAGACGCGAACTTGATCTTAATAATCCAGAGTCAGAAGTGGCTCTCTCCTTGCTAGATACTATATCCGGCTTGGTTGCAAATATTGCTAGAATCGATGGGAAAAGTGCAGCAGCGTTGACCGACGCCATGCTAGCTGTGCTTCCAGTAGAGCCTGAGGCACTTTCCTGCGCTATTTTGAACTTTACAGAGCAGGCATCTGTTTCGGTGGAAGAAGTTATCCCCTTCATTCTTCCAGCCATTGGAAAATCCTGGGGAAATCCAGGAGAAGGACAGATTCCAAAGGAGAGCTCAGAAAGCCTGAACGTCACATTCAAAGACATAATTGCTCAAGGGTCAATCGTCATCAACCAAATCACAACCGTTGCGGCACGAATTCAAGCTCCAATCATGCAGGAAGTTTTGCAGCTGGTTGCCAATGCTGTATATGCAGTGGCAAATCACTTGGATCAAATTGTCTGCGCCATTAGCCGAAATGATGCAGGTCTACAACTTGATGCTCTTGCTCCATGCGACTCAACTACCATTGAATCTGCATCGGTGAATACTTTGACGCTCAAGCCAATATCCTTGACAATTGGCACCTCTTCATTGGCAACTGCAACATGGAACATCATGCCTACCGCAAACCCTGAAGCTTATGACACGGTATCTGAAATACTGCCTGACCCCTATTCAATTTCGTCGGCTTCCAACTCAGATATCCTACAAACTGGGCGTTCAATTTCATCGCAGTTTTCTGTCACAGACCAAAGTGTTACATGTACGGTAGGGACATGGTTAAGCTTACGCACAACTTCCCCTGGTCTCTTACCTTGTCCGGCTTCGGCGCCTGTCTCGACGCCAGGAGTGAACCCTAAGTCAGGACCTTGTCCAGAGACAGGATATCAGTGCAAAGATTGTCTCAATGGATGGTTTTGCCCCCCGGTAGAAACACCCCCTCAAGTTGTGCCTTGTGGATTAGGGTGGCCTTGTTTTCACTGCAAAGACGGATACTTCTGCTCCTCAACTGCCGCCTTGGATCCTACTGCATATATCCCGGATAGTTACAGCGTTCCATTGCATCCTGCAAGCACTGAGGCAGTGGAGACCATTAGCCCAACACTACCTTCAGCTCCCACACCCAGTCACGACTTTTGCGTCGCAGTTCCCGGCTGGACATATTTGGGATGCTTTCGAGATGCTATTTCACGCACGCTTGTTGGATCCAAGCCTGTAGATTATTTGCGAGGTTCAATGCCGAACTATACATGTATCAACCACTGTGCAGCCAATGGCTACTCCTTCGCTGGCACTGAGCATGGCTTCGAATGCTGGTGTGGTTTGTCTATCCGAGACGATGCCGTTCGATTACCTGAGAACTCTTGTAATGTACCCTGTCAAGACTCGGCAAACGAGTTCTGCGGTGGATCTTGGGTAATTTCTGTATTCAGATGCGCAGAATCTAACCCCCGATCTGGCTCAGAGAACAGCAACTCATCGACATCAAAAGGAGCACAAGCATCAACACAAGTGCCAGGCTCATCACCGACTGTAACTACGCCACCACCATATCAAGAAACCCAGTCACCATCCGCAGTGTTGGAAACGACTGCGGATTCGCTGCTATACGCAAGCGAGAGCAAAAGCACGCAAACGCCATCTTCAGCCCAGCCAGGCCCAGTCGCAAAACTATTGGCAAACGCAAGACATTCTAAGTAGACTCACGGAGCTTTTGTAGCATACTGTTACATGCATTTGAGACCTTGATGAAAAATTTGTACGTAGCCTCATGTAATTGCCGTAATGAGTTACGGAAAGCAGGAATATCAGCCGGGGGAGGCATGGTGACCAAGTTTGGTTCTTTCTTTTGCTTTATTGATGGGGCGTTTATTTTGATTCTGCAAATTAGGGCTATAATAAGCGCATGCAGGTTCTTACAAATTGGGACATGGAGCACCGTAAATGCATGCAGTTAAAGTTCAAATCCTGGGTTCACAGTAATACAATGATTCGCACAGACCTTTAGCTGGCAAATGCTCCCCCGTGGACTCGTCTCACCCAGACATAGCCAGGGTCTTTACGTCGCTTGGGGATGACGTTCGCCAGATCCTAGATGGCTCAAGATGAGTTGTCAAGCTAAGAGAAAACCACATGGCCGCTCAGACAGAGGAGTCCATTGGATGGGTACGCCTCGCCCGACTAAGAAGTCACCAGTCGATGCTATCTAAGGTTGACAGTTGACAACGGTGTCGTGGACTACCTAGGGATGTATGTATTGCACCAGTTTCGGGCATAATACATTCATATATACATGGCGGCACTTAGCCCGTCCATACAGACATACAGTACAGCTCAGGTTAATTAGGTCTCTGATCAAGGTTGGCAGATGCAAAATGAAAAGCTCCACGGCGGCAACTGGGATCCAATCACCCAGCCTGGGCATCCGGAAACGGAGTCGAGTCCCATTCCTTCACGGAGAGGATGAACCGGGCTGTTGTTGGCCCATGAAGATGCTGGACTCAAAAATTACAACACCAGCGGAGAGGGAGCAGCTGCGTAACATCCGAGGGGGTAAGGAGTACGGAGTAGTACGTAGTACGGGGTTGAGTTATAGCAAAAGCGACAGGCACCGTCCGCAAGAAGCAATAATGAATGTCACTATCAACAAGGGGGTTTGTTAGTCGGAGGACTCCTCAACCAGAGAGCCAGGCGAGTGGACACGAGAGCAACTAGGATGCTTGTGCAAAATCTTTTCTTCGATGCAGATACTCCTACTAGTACTCCGTATCCTCAGGCAGACTAGTCAACCCCAGGTCCAGGCCTTCTCTCCCCGTGGGTTTGTTCGTAATGAATTGCTGGGGGCGGGACAGGCGGGCTGGCTGAAAGCGCAGAGAACGTGGGTTTGCTAGATTTCCATGGGTATAAATTGAGCTTGGGCGGTTCCCTCGCCACGGCTGAATGCATCGCCGAGGACGCGCATCTCGACTGGAGGCCAATGAGAGCGACGGGTTCGTACGTTAGCAAGCAAGCAGGTGGGCAAAGCTGATCAGCCCGTACATAGACTGCTCGGTGCTCTGTAGAGCATTGCACACATACCCTTGCAAGGCAGGCAGTGAGCCAACGGTGATGCCACCTACCTGCGTATGTATGTAGTCACGGAGGATTTAACGTTCGAGTCCGTCGCAGAGTGCGGTGGACATAGACGTACTCGGTATTATGCTGACCACGCATTTTCAACAAGTGCACGGCGATGCATGCATTCTGCATCCTACCCCTGTCGTGTGGCTGCTGGAGAGCGTCAGGGCACGCAGGCCCGCAACGACAAGGGGCGGTGGTGAGAATGGTGTGCATTTCGTTCGTTGACGATGCCACGCATCCGGAATTGTTGGTTGTTGGCGGCTACGTTCCCACTTGGTGCCGTCTTTGCCTCGGGGGCGTTTCCTGTCGCGGAGAAGAGGCCTCGTCTTAACAAATCGGCGGAACAGCGGCCCTGGGCTCTGACAGACGGCTATTGATATCCATCGACCCGAAATGGGTTGGGTTGGCTAAGAAGGACATGTTTTTGAGTGGTTTCCTGCAGCCCTGTCTGCTCTCGGATTCGAGAAGCCCAGGTCGGAGGGGGAAGAGGTTGGGGAACGTGGTGGTGGGGGTTGCTAATATGTATCAATGTCACTCCAGGTTCCTGTATGTACATATGTACATACATATGTACTCCGTGGTGCATTTCGGTGTGAGATGCAGGGGAAAAGTGTAATAGATTTCTGGATTCGTCCGAGGATTGGAATCGCCCGGCTCCGACGATGCTACCTACCCGGGTGGATGGGCTCGGTCTTGTCCTGCGACTTTACCCTGAATGAAACGACAAGCGACTAAGCGTCTGTGCAAAGGTTGAGTTTCATTCTAAAGTAGACAAGTTTTATCGCGGCTAGCGAACGGAGGTATGTAGTGGTTATGTATATGTTTGCTAAATATAGGGTTGTGCTCTTTGGCGACTGGGTGTCTGCATTGCGCCATGATTTGTGTATTTTGGGTCCCTCCGCACTTGGATGATTCCTGTGAGTTTATTACTCTGTTTTTCTGCCAATGAAGACATTTGGCTTGTTCCGCTCGTAATGACAAATTACTCTAGTCTCAAAGTGCATGATTTTTAATCTTAACCCTAGGAGCATAACGGTGGTGGCTTGATTGTTCATGTGTGTGACTGTCGTCATGGCGAAGTTGGACTAGAGGCAATATCGGTTAGCTTTGACGGCTCGGTCTTGTTGAAGTGCTGTGAAGCTGGTCGCTACGAGGACCTTGGCTTGCTTCAGCATGCTTCATCCCCGTCAATAGGTTCGGCATATGAATGTAGTTTTGCGCACGCTGTCGATGTCGATGAGAATGTCTTGACGAGACCGTCGCATGTTGATGCGCCACGATTTGCTCATTGGCGGGAAGGAACATGCTGGTCGGACGAGGAGGTCATCGGGCCAGGCGAAATTGCCTGATTCGAAAAACCTCAGATCCAAATCGTGGTACTAAGTACTCCGTAGTCCGTAGTCCTTCGAAATCGAACGCGCCACTTGCGCCTCTCGGGTCAATGGAGGATTGCCTAAACAGACTTGGCTGGCGCAATGTGAGTGTCGCCCCCAAACGCCACCATCGGCATTGGATGCCCGAGCCCCTGATCTTTTCACTTGTTGCCAACACGGCCAATACTTGGATTGATAAATCAGGCCGCGCAGACGGCAATTCGGCGCATTGCTGTAGTCCGCTTATACAACCGAGTTGAAACTGTGATTTGATGCTGTGGGTAGAGCCAGTAACACCGCCCTGAGACATGATATCCCTGCTTCACATTTGGTCTTGATAAATACTTTATTTCTTTTTGAGCTGGCGCCGTATTATACTAGCGGGCGATGTTAGTTTCACGGGCTGTGTTACCGCCGTCATATTCAACTAGGCGATTGACCTACAGTTTTTCTTAATCCAGACACTTGACACTTGAACCCCATGGAATTGTATCCCATACGGACCCTCGTGAGAGCCGGTAGTTTTTTTTTTCAGTGCGGAATGCACTTATGATTCCCCTGTCACTGCTGATTCTGCTCACAGTCATCTCTGTAGTCATCTCGTTGGTGGTAGCGCCATACATTCGAAAATTGCGCCGTGACACCAGTCTCCCACAAGTCTCCCATTTCTATGCATCATTTCCCTCCCGAGGTCACGATACACAACGATGGAGTTCTCCATCCATGTACAGGTAGCTAATTCGCTTCCATTGTGTCGGCGCCGGCGGTTGAGAGGTTGCATTCAGATCGACCCCGCCTTGAGATGGCAAGCAAATGTGGTTTTTAGACTATTGCACGGACGGCGATCGACAACGTCATGGTGTTCTTTGTTCAGACACTACCCCGACCTGCCCGACCTGCCCAGCTCGAGTCGTGTGTAGGCAAGGCAGTGGCGGGAGGCCTTTAGAGCAGCCTTCCGGTTCTCCGCGTCTCCTTGTTCCCCGGAAACATGCTAGTGACCCATGGGGCCCTGCAGACTTGTCTTGGGGCTCCAGAATGCTCGCCCGAGCGGATGGCGTTTTTGAGCCGGGTTCTACAGGTAATAACGCGATGGGCTCATATCGCCAGGACGTTCGTCCAGAGTCCGCCGGACAGGGAAGCAGGTTGTGCGGAGACGACTGCCCCGAGTCGCCCAGACAAACTAGTATTTCGACCGGCAAGGACGCACGGCACTGCACAAGCAAGGCTCAGGGCAGGCCGGTCGAGCAAGAAGAGCTGCATTGTAGAACCACAGCTGCGGCAACGCCAAGCATGGGGTACATGACATATCTCTCCACTGTTACAGATGTCCTCTCACCCGTCAAGCTTGGCAGGTCTCTTGTCGGATGGGACCGTGGCTATGATGCTCGTTGGCAAATGTATTTGCAGGATTCGGCCGCATTGGTTTCGCTGTGGCTTTCAGTAGTAACAGATGTCAACTGGTAGTACTACATGAGAAATATGGCATTACCGCTCCAGGCTAGTACGTAGTTATTATACCTGCTGACGAGGACTTGCTTTCGGTTGAAAACCGCATACTCTGCACCACCGCACTTGTTCCAGATGACCGGATTGCCGCGTTATGGATTGATATGCCCAAAGTCGACTTGTTAGTTGTATCGACTGATCTTGACTTGGTGCTCGAATCTCACATCATGATGCAATTAGACCGCCAACTAGCCAAAAGCCCCGGCCGTAAGGAAGCTGTACATGACGCCCCCTTCGATTTAGTCTCTGGAGAGGTTGCGGAAAGAGACCGCAGATCGCATTCCCCAAGAGACTAGCCAGCCAGCCACCAGCCACGCCCACCCATCAGTTGCTGCCGTTGACGGGTGCTAAAGGTTTGTTTCGCGAGCCATACATACTTGGCGTAAAAGCGTCGAGGCAAATCTCCGAATCCAGAGCCTCGTACCAGGATCGGTGTTTTCATCCAGACTCTCGCTAAAAAAAAAAAAGATAGGCGCTCTGACGTGGCTAAGACACCTCTCTGGCCCATGTTTCCTATGCTGAATGTACTGAATAGGAATGCGAAAGCTTTGACTCTTGTGCATATATATCGTTGCAGCCTGAGCGCCGTTAGACATCATACATATTTGTCCAGAGCCACAAAGAACTGCCTGGTATGGAGTACGGAGCACCACAATGGAACCGTATATAGTAATAACACCCTCATCAATTACAAATAACGCC